AAAAGCAATTAATGGAACATCTTGCTTCCTGGAATTGCCCCATTGCTGGAGATTTTCAAGAGATTAGACAGTTATTTGTCCAAAATGGAATAAACTCTTCAGCCTGGGATGGGGTTGGACTAGAAGACCTCCAAGGTCCCTTCCAACATTTCTATTCTATTCTATTCTATTCTATTCTTCTATTCTATTCTATTCTATTCTATTCTATTCTATTCTATTCTATTCCATTCCATTCCATTCCATTCCATTCTAATTAAAAAAACCCATCAACAACTATATTTATATTTTTTACATATTTAAAAAGCAGACATACAATCTCCTGAATTTGTGGGTGCTCCATCGCTGGAGATTTTCAAGAAGAGATCGGGCAACCATTTCTCTAAGGTCTACTGCCTCGGGCAGGGGGTTGGACTAGAAGGCCTCTGAGAGCCCAATGATTCTATGATTGTCACCAAATCAGAGTGAGGCTTCCAATAGGTTGAACCATTGAACCCCATTTCACCCAACTTGGAAATTCAATTTCCGACACCAACTGGAGTGGATCCCATGTTCCAAAATTGAAAAGAGGACGTAGGAGAGAGCTTAAAAGGGGATTTATCTGTGCCCACCCCACCCCCCGAAAGCCCAAGTGAAGGTTTTGATGGCTTGAAGGGAGAACCAAAACAACTGGAAACCAAACAGAAATTTAAATAAAGGTGTCCTCTGAGGGGGATAAAAGAGGTTGCTTTGGAAGCCTCAATGGAGCAGGATTTTGCTCGTTGGGCATGGCCGCCATCTTGACTCTTTTTATGGGTGTTGTTGAATTTTCACGACAGGGCTCAGAAAGGGTGAGAAAGAAAGCGAGCGAGCTAACAGAACAGCATCGTTTTCAAATTTTTTATTGGCATAAATAATTCATACATAATTTTACCTCAACAGACACCTCACCAAAAGCACAAGGAACAAAAAAAAAAAAAAAGAAAGAAAGAAAGAAAAAAAAAGGGGGGGGGAGAAAACTCTTAAAACGCTCCATTTGTGTTTTGTTTATTTCGTTTTATTTTGCAGTCCCCTGCCACTTGCACTCCCAACCAACAGCAGAAATTATAAATACTTTCCCTCATGTGTAGAAAAATTTATAAATGGTACTGTACAAATTTACAATCTGCAAGAAGAACAATGTTTTCAGTTTTGCTTTACTCCGTGTTTTTTTTTTTTTCCCCTTCTCCTTCCCCGTTCGGTTTTGGTGGAGATTTTTATTTTTTATTTTTTTAAATGTTGAGTTTTGTTTTGTTTGCCTGAGAATCCATGATTTGCTTGCTCACTTGTTTCTAATGATGAGGATTTGGCAACAAACGATATAAAAACAGATATATGCGTATTTCATACAGCTAGTCCTTCACTTATAGCCAGCAAAAAAAAAAAAAGCCCATTTGGGGGAGTGGGTTTAGGCTTATGACCACGAGATTTGCTTAACAACGAGTTAAAAAATTAGGTCCGTTTATGTCAGGGGTCGGTAACCTTACACACTCAAAGAGCCATTTGGACCCGTTTCCCACAGAAAAGAAAACACCGGGAGCCACAAAACCCTTCCCGTGCCTGACTATTTCCTGAGCGGCCACAAAACTAGCATATGTAGTTGAATTAAACATTTATCATTCTGTTTCCTTCTGAAAGTTTTATGACCTGTATACAGTTAGTAGTCACTGACTTGAAATAAATTAACTTTTTTTTTAAAAAAAAAATGTCGGCAAATTTCTTTGAGATATTCTGTTATGAACTAAATTTTTCACTAACATTCTTCTGGCTGTTTTTGTTTTTTTTTTAAATGGCAAAAAAACCCCCAACCCAAATAATTGCGGCTTTTTCCTGAGACTTGCTCTGGGGTGGTTCCGAAAGAGTGGGGCGTTCCACATTTTAAAATATTTTGTAATTGTTACTTTGTGGGATTCCCTGTTTGGCTCATTTTATAGCGTGAAGCTGCTGCTGCTCTAACGACATTTTTTTTTTTAGTTTAGTAACTAGACAAGACTTCTGCTCATGTCACAGGTGACCGAAGGCCTTTCTCCACTTAAATGATTAAAACTCTTGAGGCCATTTGGTGGAAGACGAATGGCCTTGCTCTTTTGCTGCTTTCATTTCCCAAACTCATTTTATAAAGGTAAAGGTTCCCCTCGCACATACGTGCTAGTCGTTCCCGACTCTAGGGGGCGGTGCTCATCTCCGTTTCAAAGCCGAAGAGCCAGCGCTGTCCGAAGACGTCTCCGTGGTCACGTGGCCGGCATGACTCAACGCCAAAGACGCACAGAACGCTGTTCCCACTAAAGGTGGCCCCTATTTTTCTACTTACATTTTTTTACATGCTTTCGAACTGCTAGGTTGGCAGAAGCTGGGACAAGTCACGGGAGCTCCCCCCGTTACGCGGCACTAGGGATTCGAACCGCCGAACTGCCGAACCTTTCGATCGACAAGCTCAGCGTCTTAGCCGCTGAGCCACCGCGTCCCTCAACTCACCTTATAGTGGAGTGAAATGGCACTTGTTTTTTTTTATCCAGGAGAAAAAAAAGAGAAAAAGTCGCAGAATTAGGGAACAAAAAACGGATACTACATTCACTGTTATAAAATGGACTTGGTGGTTTATATAAAATGCGCGAACTCCTCAATTGCTCCGTTGCAGGCAGATGTCGTCTTTTCAATCATAGAAAGCATGGGGGGGGCGAGGGGGGGAGATTATTTTGCAGTGAAAGGAATTAAATGGCAATTAAAAGTGGAGTTTCGTAGGAATGCAGCTCTGCTTTGGAGCACTCCTATTGCTTTTGAGGTGGGTGAAAGTTTTCCCCCTGGGAATAAATATGTTGTGACTCATTCTTTACGTCAAGACCGACACAGAGAACACAACAATACAACCACACTGTCCCCCTCCCTCTATTTGAACTGTGTGTAGACGTGACATTCACATACAGAGATGTGATTTTTTTTTCTTTTACAAAGGTGCTCCTTACGTACAAAGGACTTGAGAATTTCTCCCGACTTTGATGAGGTTACAGGCGATTCTCATTAAACAGCCAGGCGTTCAGCGGCTGTTTGAAGGTGTGACGGTGCTGAACAAGTGGAGATTGTGACTTAATCTGTGGGGTTGTGGCTGTTGCACCATCCCTGCGGTCACGTGATTATGATTTGGGAAACTGGCTCGCAATGATGACCGTCATCCTGGGATCAAACGATCCATCATTTTGTGACTTTCGCTGCTGGCTTCGGGCAAGCGAAGGCAATGGGGAAACCCGCAGGAGGTCGCAAATGGCAATCGTTGTGACCAAGGGACGCTGCAACCTTACGACACCAACTGGAACTGCCGCTATTACCATTGTGAGTCAGCCCGACCACATTACGCAGCTCTGTACGACCGCATCACTTAGTGACAAGAGCTCTTCGTCACTGTCACTGAGTGAGGACTACCTGCGTATGGCCCTATAAGTGGGATCTTAGTCTGGAGAACTAATCGCAACTCCCAGCGTCCTTCTGGCTTCAGGTTGCCAAGAATTGCAATTCAGAATCACCTAGTGGCCTCCCATCCCTACTTCAAAAAACAGGCAAAGATCCCTCCACTTGAATTTCCTTTGCCACTGAATTTCAGTGCGCTTATCTTGGAGTGCCAGGATTGGTACGGAGGTGAGGCCAGAGGCTGCCTGAAGCGAGCCTGTGGGAAACCTACTCCTGGGTGCAACGGTTGAACTTCCTGATTTCTAAAACCTACCATCTGTAGCATGTGTGTGACGCCAAGGACAATATTTTCCTTAGATATGCCCGAAACTTCCTGCCGTTGCCTAGCCAAGCAGAGGCCGACGGCTCGCGCATTTTATCTTCGTGTCCTTCGCGAGTTCTCAGAGAAAAGAGAAAGCGGTCCACAAGAAAAGAATTTTCAATACAGAAGTATGTGTACGAAGGGAGCATGTTCACCAATCCTTTCTTTTTTTTTTACTACTGGCTCGGAAGCCGGGGGGGATTTTAAAAGGCCACTGCGTGGGCAGGAAAGGGGAGAAGAGAAGCAGGCGCAGTGGCGAAAAGCCAGAAACACAAACGCATTAGATTTTGTGTGTTTGTGTGTATGTGTGTGTGTGTGTGTGTGTGTTTAGAGAATTAAGGGATCTAAAGGGGTTTCCCCCCAGGACTGTTAATAAGTCAACCGGAGAATTAAGACAGGAATGCGCGGTGCAGGGTAAAAGAGTAAAAGCTTATGGGATGTGTGGATTAGAATACAATCCGCCTTGTGGTTTCTGTATTTGTGTGGCGGTCATTCCACGCCCCGTTTGTGTGTGGGTGTGTATTCACTCTACTCAAAAGGTAATGAGGGAAGGATCATCTCGGATTGTTCTGCCCTTGATAGCTTGAGTTAGAGCTCAGAATAAGTCTATGGATCCGTGTATCTCTGTGTGTTTGTCTGTCTGTCTGTCTCTCTCTCTCTGTGTATGCACACACAAATGGGTATACTCTTAGCATTGGAGGATATATGTGAGTGAAGAGACAGAGGTGGTATTCGGCAGGTGCTGACCAGTTCTGGAGAACCGGTAGCCGAAATTTTGAGTAGTTCGGCAAACCGGCAAATGCCACCTCTGACTGGCCCCGCCCCCATCTATTCTCTGCCTCCCGAGTCCCAGCAGATTGGGAGGAAATGGGGATTTTGCAGTATCCTTCCCCTGGAGTGGGGAGGGAATGGAGATTTTGCAGTAACCTTCCCCTGGAGTGGGGAGGGAGTGGGGATTTTGCAGTATCCTTCCCCTGCCACACCCACCAAGCCACACCACGCTCACAGAACCAGTAGTAAAAAAAAAAAAATTAGACTGGTCTTGTGTCAGTCAGGGTCACTGGGAGGTGAACTGCTGGTGATGGTGGTGGGAGAATTGCATGGGTCGGTTGAGGGTCGGTGCTGTCTCTGGTTAACCGTGATGTTGACTCGGGTTCTGAGCAGTGGTGGGATGCTGTTGGTTCGGTGAGCGCGCACTTCGTGCTGAAAATGGAGCATTTAGAAGCTCAGCTCCTTACCTTCCAAGTCAGCAACGGTAAGTAGAACAGCGGAGGGGGGGGGGAAGGCTGTGCCACACGATTGAGATGAGTTAGAAAGCAGGAAATAAAGGACAGGATAGGGTGGATGTGGGGGGGGGGGCAGAGCCAGCTAATCGTCGGAGCTACCAGTCTGAACCGGCTGAATTCCACCTCTGGTTCTGAGGGGTTCTTAGGCTGGTTGCAAGCCAATGTGTCCGTCGATGGACTTGCTTGCGGAGTGCTGAAGATGTTACCTAGCCCGGGAATAAAAGGTTCAGAGACCAACCCACGAGCTCGGAGAACGAACTTCCACCCTCATCCTACACCCGAGCTACAGATATTCGCCACTATTGCAAACAATGCTTAGCAGCCCACTTGGATTAAGGCGTTGCAAAGGTGAGTCACAATCACAGTGTCAAGTTTCCGAAAGATGCCCTAATTAATTCATGAGCCATGATCCAAACTTCAAAGGAAATATAGTCATTTATTAGGAGCAACATTCCGGCAATACTGGGATGCAGTTAGGACTGGTCCCACGTAGATTTACGTTCCCCTATGACCCTGTCTCTCCTCTCCTCTCTGTCATAAATCACATTCTCCAATTAACCACTTTGGCTGGCTGTGAAACCTAACACCCTCCTTCTGATTGCGGTCAGGAAGAATGTATGGAATTCACTTCAGTTCTCCCTCCCTCCTGCTCATGGCAACTTGAAAGCTTTGCAAGTTGACACACAGCTTCTAAAGGCTTTTTTATGAGCCCAGTTCGGATGAACGCCAGGTCTTGAAATTCAGCGGCAAACCCTAAAGCATCAGAAATCCAGTTCCTCGTGAGAGTTAGCAGACTCCCAAACAAATGTAGGGGATTATCTCTCTAGTCCTTGACCGTACCACCTTTCTAACTAAAAAAACCCCCCTTCACACTGAAAAAGTTGCCTACTTTGCTCTGCCTTTTGTACTTATCTCCTTTTTTGATCTGACATTTTTAACCAGGCCATAAAAATAATATTGGGGTTCCTATTTCTGAGCAGGAAAGCGAAAGGAAGACGATAGCCATACATACGATGAGAGATGGATGAATAGTCGGTTCTATGATATACACGGGAGGGAGCTAGATGTCAGAGAGCGACTGGCTGGGCCAAGGAGGGAGGAGTCAAGCTGGGAATTAGTCTGGAATTGTTATGTAGGCATAAGAGGTCCTTGAATACCACTGAACCAGTGGTGGGTTGTCCCCGGCTCGGACCGGTTCTATAGAACCGGTAGTAAAACTGGCGGGAAGCTCCGCCCACTGACCCTGACGTCATCAGAAGCGATCTGCGCATGCACAGAAGCTTCCGATCGCGCACACGATCCCATTGCGAACTGGTAGTAAAGTTAAGTAGAACCCACCCCTGCACTGAACCTTATCTAGTCTGCCGGTCTCGGAAGATTCCTGTGAAAGAGGCGTTGAGCAATAAAGTAGCTAGTTTATACTCTACGCATATAAGTTTGATTCTTCGCCCCTGAACTAGAGAGAGTAAAACCTGTTCTGATCTAGGCCTCCCAAGATCATGAAGCAGACTCCTCGTTCGGATAAAACCTCTTTTATTTAGGTTAAAGGGAAATTCCTCTCCAGCAAAATCCTTCAGGAGATTTCACAACTACAGACCTTTATCGGGCGTGGAGAGCTGCCAGGCCGATATCTTCCAAACGCCACGCTGTAGCAGCAGCAATTACTTGGCAAGAAGTCAGGAGCAGATCTTCACCCTCGTGAATTGAACTAATTGTCTCCTGCAAACTCCCCTCCTCTTTCGGTCCTCTTTATTCCCTATGGGAGGAGCCATTCACTGTCCACCTGTGGCTTTACTCCTGAGTTGACCCTTGTTCCTTAGCTGTTCCCTTCTCCTGGCAACTCTGCGCATGCGCACATCGGGAACAGGCTCCAGCTGTTCCTCTGCCTCACTGATGTCCGACTCCGAAGGCAGCTGATAACTGTCGGACGGCCCTGGCCCTCTCTCTGCCTCCGACGCAGAGCCCTCATCAGAGCCTTCCCCAGACTCCAGGACTGGCCCATGTTCCTCCCCAAACTCCTCACTGTCTGAGTCTGCCACCAGCTCCGCTGGCCGCTGGCGGCCCACAACAAAACCTTCTAAGCCAAGACAATTTTCTTATCCTCTGCACTAAATAGAACAGCTTCTCTGTGAACAAGGAAAAACCCGATACAACTCCCTGGAGCGGATTGGGGAAAGGGGAAGGGGACAAGAGTTCACTCTCACTCAACAGATCTGTAAATAAACCCCTGTCTCTATGGAGCTGGCTAATAAATCTGAGCTACCGGATAACCTCAGTCCACGCCCTTGGAACTCCTATTAGTTGGCATTGTGGCGGTTTCCCTTATATTCTCTGTTCTAAAGAGCTGGTTATTTTTAAACCGGATAAAAATCCATCGATAAAAGAACAGGGTGGGAAGAGGGCAGCGAAGCCGAAACAACAGAGATCAAACGAAGGGAGGGGAGGGGAGATTTGTTACTGATAAATTTAAGACTTGGGGAGGGGGGGGAAATATAAGAAAGCATGATGAGGACATAAGCCTTGGTGGCGCAGCAGACTAAAGCACTGTTAAGTAACATCAGCTGCCTGCATTTACTGCAGGTTCGAATCTCACCAGGCTCAAGGTTGACTCAGCCTTCCATCCTTCCGAGGTAGGTAAAATGAGGACCCAGATTGTGGGGGCAATAAGATGACTTTGTATAAAAAAGAACACCGCTTAGGGGGGGGACGAAAGCCCTACTAAGCAGGTATATACAAAAGAATGAAGGCTATTGCTTAAAAGCATTGTAAGCGGCCCTGAGTCTCCGGAGAAGGGCGGCATATAAATTGAACCAATAAGTAATAAATAAATAATAAATAAGCCAATATGCTTGGCTTCTTTGGGATGGGGGGGTGGGGGAGGACAGCAAATAAACCAGACTGGGCTGGGTTTTTTTTTTCACCCCGTTCGATGCTAACATGCAACAGTTCCTCCTTTAAACTTTCCTCTAGCCAAAAATATTCAGCAAATCTGTTTTTCTTGCACATGTATTACAGGCGGTCCTCGAGTTACGACCGCGACGGAGTGCAAAACTTCTGTTGCTAAGCGAGGCAGTGGCTAAATGAATTTCGCCTCATTTTACGACCTCTCTCGCCCCACTTGTTGGTAAGTGAATCGCTGCAGTTGTTAAGATGGTAGACACGGTTGTTAAGTGAATCTGGCTTCCCTGTTGATGTTGTCTGTCGGGAGGTCGCAAAAGGGGAACACGTGACCCCGTGACCAGGGGTGAAATCCAGCAGGTTCTGACAGGTTCTGGAGAACCAGTAGCGGAAATTTTGAGTAGTTCGGAGAACCGGCAAATACCACCTCTGGTTGGCCCCAGAGTGGGGTGGGAATGGAGATTTTGCAATATCCTTCCCCTGGAGTGGGGAGGGAATGGGGATTTTGCAGTATTCTTCCCCTGAAGTGGGGAGGGAATGGGGATTTTGCAGTATCCTTCCCCTGGAGTGGGGACAGAACGGGGATTTTGCAGTATCCTTCCCCCAGGAATGGGGATTTTGCAGTATCTTTCCCCTGGAGTGGGGAGGGAATGGGGATTTTGCAGTATCTTTCCCCTGGAGTGGGGTGGGAATGGAGATTTTGCAGTATCCTTCCCCTGGAGTGGGGAGGGAATGGGGATTTTGCAGTATCCTTCCCCTGGAGTGGGGAGGGAATGGGGATTTTGCAGTATCCTTCCCCTGGAGTGGGGACTGAACGGGGATTTTGCAGTATCTTTCCCCAGGAGTGGGGAGGAAATGGGGATTTTGCAATATCTTTCCCCTGGAGTGGGGTGGGAATGGGGATTTTGCAGTATCCTTCCCCTGCCACCCCCACCATGCTCACGAAGCCACGCCCACAGAACCGGTAGTAAAAAAAATTGGATTTCACTGCTGCCCGGAATGCTACAACCGTCATAAGTATGAGCCAGTTACCAAGCTTCCAAATGTAAATCACGCGATCCTGATTTATCAGCAACGGTAGCTAAGTGTGAAAAATGGTCATAAGTCACACTTTTTAGTGCCGTGGGTCCCTAAAACAAACGATTGTAAATAAAAGGACTATTTTTGCAGAGGTTTTGGATCCCACGGAGAAAGAAGGACCAGAATGATCTTCCCTATCAGCCATATTTTAAAAAAACATCAAGACAATAAATACAGTTTAAGGGCCACCTATTGCACGACTGAAATTTGGCACCGCAGAGGGGATTTCTCTCTCCGCCCCTTAACCAAAGGCACCGATTTTTGCATCTGTCCCTGAATCACCCGAAACCAACCGGGTCTGTCTGGATCAGATCAAGAATCCGTTCTTAATTATTTTGTGGCTTCTACTTACAGTATATGGCATAGGAAAAGGAACGCTAAGGAGCCATCCAGGCCTTAGCCTGACTAGGTGGCTCAACTGGCTAAGACACTGAGCTTGTCGATCAGAAAGGTCGGCAGTTCGGCGGTTCGAATCCCTAGCACAGGATTTCTCGAGTACTTTCCTGCCTGAGCAGGGGGTTGGACTAGATGACCTCCAAGGTCCCTTCCCAACTCTCGTTGTTCTGTCCTGTTCTGTACGCGCACAAAATATTTTGAGCAGATTTAGCTCTCGTCACGTCGCACAGGCCTGTCACAATCCCCAACCTTTGCTGCCCTCTAGCACGGAGAAATCCATCAACGCAGGAGAAGCAACCCACAGGAGGCTGAATCTTGCGCCGGCACTTTCCTACTCAGGTGTGTTTGTGGGTCTTTAGATTTCCACATGCAAGACAGTCTCCTGGTGCAACGGCATGCGGGAATGATCTTGGGGGACAGCCAGGAAGAAGAGCCCCAGAATAGATAATGATCAAATAACCAGCAGTTGAGCCAGTCCAAAAAAACAACAAGAACGGGGATATGATAAATGACTTAGAAGGGACCCGACCTAGTTTTTTTAGATTGTAAAGGTGATCTTGGGCTCCAGGATCACCGCAGAGGGGGACTGCAGCCGAGAAATTAAAAGAGGCTTGCTCCTGGGGAGGAAAGCTATGGCAAATCTAGACAGCATACTAAAAAACAGACACATCACCCTGCCAACAAAAGTGTGTATAGTCAAGGCGATGGTTTTCCCAGTTGCAATGGATGGCTGTGAAAGTTGGACCATACGGAAGGCTGAGAAGGCCAAAGAATGGAGGCCTTTGAACTCTGGTGCTGGAGAAGACTCCTGCGAGTCCCTTGCACTGCAAGGCGATCCAACCGGTCAGTCCTAGAGGAGATCAACCCTGACTGCTCTTTAGAAGGCCAGATCCTGAAGAGGAAACTCAAATACTTTGGCCACCTAAGGAGAAGGAAGGACTCCCTGGAGAAGAGCCTAATGCTGGGAAAGACGGAGGGCAAAAGAAGAAGGGGACAATGGCAGAGAACGAGGTGGCCGGATGGAGTCACTGAAGCAGTCAGCCTGAGCTTCAATGGACTCCAGAGGATGGTAGAGGACAGGAAGGCCTGGAGGAAAGTTGTCCATGGGATCGCAATGGGTCGGACACAAGTTCACACTAACAACAACAACAAAGGTGAAGAGGGAGGGGAAAATGTATTTTCAGACCGGCAAGATTCTGTTAACGTAACCTGTTATGAATGAAGTAGAATTAGTTAATCTGGATATGCTTCCTATCTGGATTATCTTTTTTTTTTATATATAAGTGCAAGGATCTTGCCCTGGTCAGCTTCTTCGAAATGTTGAATTCTAGCTTGAATTTTTTTTTAAAAAGCAACCAAATCAAACATAGCACAAAAGAGAAATAAGAAAGGCACCCTTTAATTGGGATCAAGAAATCAGAATGGCTCCTTGCTGGAAGACTACGAAACGGACAGCCTGTAGTTTCTGAAGGATCTGGGTGGGTTGTGAAGAAGGAAGGAAGGAAGGAAGGAAGGAAGGAAGGAAGGAAGGAAGGAAATGAAGGAGGGAGGGAGGGAAGGAAGGAAAGAAAGAAAGAAGGAAGGAAAGAAGGATGGAAGGAAGGAAGGAAAGAAGGAAAGAAAGAAAGAAATGGAAGGAAGGAAGGAAGGAATAGAAAAGAATAGATAGAATAGAATTCTTTATTGGCCAAGTGTGATTGGACACACAAGGAATTTGTCTTGTTGCATACCAAGAAGGAAGGAAGGAAGGAAGGAAGGAAGGAAGGAAGGAAGGAAGGAAGGAAAGAAAGAAAAAGCAAGCAAGCAACAAGTTGTGGAACACACCCCTTTTATTGCAGAATAAGGGAGAAATGCAGCTTTTCTCACAGCAGGATTTAAATCCCAGATCTTCCTTTTCCAAGAAGGCGCACAGCACGAGGCCTAACCGCAACTTCAGACAATTGCAAAAAAGCCGAACGGATGTGCTCACGATGGCATTGAGTTCTCGTTTTTTGGCAGACAGGGGCACATAAAACCACATCGTGCCGGTCAATCAAGGAAGGACACCAGCCTTCCAGAACTAAAGACACCACAGGGAGCTGTGCAAACTCCAAGCTTCATTTATCAATTGACCTTTCCAGAGAGTAGGGGAGAGGGGAGAGAGCTGAGTCAGCGGCTTGAGGCTTCCTTGCTTTGCTTCTAAAATCTTAAACAGTGCCCGAAAAGGAAGAAGGGTCTAAAATCCACGGGAAGAATGACTTCATTCTAATAACACTCTATAAAGCCTTAGTAAGACCACACCTAGAATCCTGCATCCAGTTTTGGTCACCACACTATAAAAAAGATGTTGAGACTCTAGAAAGAGTGCAGAGAAGAGCAACCAGGATGATGAGGGGACTGGAGGCTAAAACATTCGATGAACTGGGCATGGCTAGTTTAGTGAAGAGAAGGACCAGGGGAGACAGGATAGCATCTTCCAATATTTGAGGGGCTGCCACAGAGAGGAGGGGGTCAAGCTATTCTCCAAAGCACCCGAAGGCCAGACAAGGAATAATGGATGGAAACTGAACAAGGAGAGATTCAACCTGGAAATAAGGAGGAATTTCCTGACAGTGAGAACAATCAACCGAAGGAACAGAAGCTGCCTTCAGAAGTTGTGGGAGCTTCATCCCTGGAGGCTTTCAAGAAGAGATCTCCCACGACGATGAGAACATGCGATGCCACTTTGCCAAGCTGGGAAGCCTAAGGAACGTTTCTCCCATTTCAGGAGATTCAACTAAACCTACAGAAATTGCATTTGCAACGATCAAAATCTACTTGGCGTCACGACAGCTGGAGAACTGGGTAAACCAGCATCAGGGGTGGGATTCAAAAATGTTAGCAATCAGTTCTCTGCCCGGTTGCTGGGTGGGCGTGGATAGGGTAGGCGTGGCCTATTCGGCCTCCCGCACCACAGCGGGGTGGTGGTGTTTTCACCCTCCCCAGGCTCCGGAGGCTTTCCTCGAACCTCTGGAAGGACGAAAATGGCCTCCCCCGGCTCCAGAGGCCCTTCGGATGGCGGAAACAGGCCCATTTCTGGACTTCTGGTACTTCCGGTAGACCCGTTTTTTGCCGTCCCAGAGCCTCTGTGCAGTCCCTGCACTTATCTGGCATCCAACCAGTCCTAACCAGCTGAATCCCACTCCTGGCCAGTGTCAGAAACTCTTGGAGTTGACATGGCTCTTAAAATCTGGGACAGCCAAGTCTGTAAAGCTCAACCTTTTTAATTTCCTTTTTTCACTCTCCCAGAGGCTCCAGAAAAGCCTCTGGAGCCTGGGGAGGGCAAAAACACCCCCCCCAGCGGTGGTGCAGGAGGCCGACTAGGCCAGGCCCACCATGGCCACGCCCACCTAGCAACTGGGCAGAGAACCCCTTGCTAAAATTTTTGGAGCCCACCCCTGGACGAAACTGATCATCCTGGTTTTCTGATCTCACACTGCAATTGCCTCGCGAAAAAGAAGAGCTCAGAATACTTGGAAGGTGCAGCCCACGCCCAGCATGACAAAAATGTGGCCGGGGGGTGGTGGTGGGGGGGATGGAGGAGAGAAGAGGAAGACCTCCTGACATTGACAACAAACGTGCGTGAACTTTGGAGCTGGGAAAAAAAAAAAAAAAGGAGAAGTCTGCTCTTCAGGCAACTAGGCAAGTCATGTAAAGTGTCAAGAATGTCTCGGCTCAGAAGGAAGGAAACCGGACAGGTCCAAGCAGACCCATCAAATCTCTTTCCGACACGACTCCTTCAAAGCTCAAAGTCGGGATTTACAAGAAATAGAGATGTGATGAGATTAGACCCTGCAATATTCTTTTTGGAGGCAGGCTACAGGGTGACCGGAGCAAGAATGTGGAAGTGGGTTTTTTTTTTGTTTTTTTTTGCTATTTTACCCATTGCAATGAGGAAACCTAGGTGGGGGGGGGGAGAGAAAAAAACCCGACTTTCTCCCCCGTAAATTAATGCAATATTTAGGGAGTGTTTTCACACGCCTCGCCCAAGAGACGTGCAGAGAATGAGGAACAGAAGAATGCAGCAAGGGCCATAAAGAAAGGAAAAAAGAGCCTTGATAGTACAGTGGTCTAAGCACCCTGTTATTAACACAGCTGCCTGCAATTTACTGCTGGTTCGAATCTCTCCAAGGCTCAAGGTTGACTCAGCCTTCCATCCTTTCTAAGGTAGGTGAAATGAGGACCCAGTTTGTGGGGGCAATAAGCTGACTTTGTATAAATATACAAAAGGATGAAGGCTATTGCTTAACGCATTGTAAGCCGCCCTGAGTCTCCGGAGAAGGGCGGCATATAAATCAAATAAAAAAAATAAAAAATAAAATAACATAAAAAGCATCAGGCACCGAAAGAACACGAAAGCCAAGAATTGGCAGCTGTTAACAGCAGGTTAAGCTTTGATGTCAAATCTCCGATCTGCATCGAGAAATTCAGCCCCACCCCGGTGAGAGTTGCCAGATACGGGGGGGGGGGATTTTTTTTTTTTTTAAAAGGGTGAAGTTTCTATCTCTCGTCGTTGAACCCAGAAGGAAAGTTGGAGGAAACTCTTGACCGCGTGAAGGTTACTCGAGAATGAAGCTCTCCCTCGATACTCTTCAGAATTCCTTCTCTGGCCTGCCTTGATGGGACTGTTTTACGAGCAGCCCGGGAAAAGCAATTTGAGGAGGGATCTAAGCCATGGTCTATGGAGATTCTCAGCCATCCAGATCACGGTTTGTCTCAAAGGTGCTTTTTTCGAAAAGGCAACTGGACTTCCTTGTTGTTGTTTTTTAAAAGACGTTTCGCTTCTCATCCATTTCTGATCAGAACAGGAAAAAAAAAAAACTTGCAAAGAAAGTCCAAGTTGCCTTTTTGGAAAAGCACCGCTGGAACGATCTAACCCCGTTTTAAGAGCACGTCCGTGGGGGTCCTGTTAAAAGTCACCCTCCTTGCTCTGGACAGCTGGGGCTGCTGAAACAGCCTTCTCCTTTCTCCACCGTGCAGGCAATGAAAGAGGAAGTCCAAGTAAAGCAACCAAAGAAAACCATACAACAAAAAGAGAAAGAGAGAGAAAGAAAGAGAGAGAGAGAGAGAGAGAAATATCAGCATCCACTAATGCAAAATGGCTTCTAAGTGGGGTAGCTCACAGTTGCCCTCAGATATTCCCGTGGGAACGTATCTCAAGGCTGCTGGCCGTCAGGTGTTTCCAGACCGCTTAGCAGGAGGGCTACCGTTCGGACTCTGGTCTGCTTCGTGTCCTCCGTCCTACGTTCCATCCGCACCGAGGAACTTTCCGTTCTTCCGTCCTCCTGAGAACGCGCTTGAGTTTCCTCTCGCCGTCCAGACCTCAGGTCTGTTGTTCTAAAGGTGGCGGGAATGAGACAGCACCTCTTTGATCCCGGAACATTTCCAAGTCGGCCATACCCTTCCAGTCTACGGACAAGGACAGAGGAAATGGAGAAAGGGAAGGAAGAGGGACGTAAGAAAGGCACCAATCCTCTGATTTCACAGCCTGGAAAGAGAGAGAGAGAGAGAGGGAGAGAGAGAGAGAAACAAGAATCAAACAGGGAAAGACATTCATACTGCAGCATCAGTGGTGAAATGTAAAATTTGTTACTACCAGTTCTGTGGGCGTGGCTTGGTGGGAGGGGGTTAATGTGACTGGGTGGGCGTGGTCAACTTTTTAAAAAAAAAAACTTTTAAAAGCATTTTTTCTACAACCTCTTCGGCAGTAGAGGTTGTTGGAAAAAAAATGCTTTAAAAAGCCTCTGACGATCAGGCAACTCAGCTGGGATCGTCAGAGGCCTTTAAAAGCATTTTCTTTTTCTACAACTACTTCGGCTGAAGAGATTGCAGAAAAAAAATGCTTTAAAAAGCCTCTGACGATCAGGCAACTCAGCTGAGATCGTCAGAGGCTTTTAGAAGCATTTTCTTTTTCTACAACTACTTCGGCTGAAGAGGTTGCAGAAAAAAAATGCTTTTAAAAGCCTCTGACAATCAGGCAACTCAGCTGGGATCATCAGAGGCTTTTAAAAGCATTTTCTTTTTCTACAACTACTTCGGCTGAAGAGGTTGCAGAAAAAAAATGCTTTTAAAAGCCTCTGACAATCAGGCAACTCAGCTGGGATCGTCAGAGGCCTTTAAAAGCATTTTTTTTTCCTACAACCACTTCTCCAGAACACTTCCTGGAGTTCAAGCACTTTCTGCTTGAACTCCAGGAAGGTGGAGAGATCATCAGCTCTGGAGTGGACAAAGGCCCTCAGCCACGTCCTCTGATTTACAGACCACCACCAGGGCTTCAATTTGTGCAACATGCTGAGCCAGATCCAAACAGATCTCTCCGGGACTTTGAGTGATGAATGAATCCATCTGATGCCATTGAAAACAAGGGTCAGGGGATGGAGAGAGTATTGCTAAGCAAGCGCAGAAGGCTTTTGAGTAAAAGGCTTCCAGAATTACCTGGTTATTCTCATCCATCTGTCAAGATCATGTAGGGAAGGGCACCTAATCAGAGAGATCAACATTCCTGGGAAGTACCATCTAGTTCTCCTAGTCTACCATTTAGCTACTGACGGATTTCAACCCTGCCTGTTCTTCGGCAATTCCAAACAGTTTCATCAGCAATCTTTCCTCCAGTGTGAGCACCACAACAATAAACCTACGAAGTAGGTTGTGGAGAGAGGTGGAGAAAGCACAGAAATGCTTTGATGGTTGTGTCAGGTTGCATGTAGACCTGAATTTTGGGATTCTCGGTGGTTAAAGATGCTGAGCTTGTTAGCTGTTAGTCCAGGTTCGAGACCCGAGCATCGCGCGATGGGGTGAGCTCCCGTCCTTTGCTCCAGCTCCTGCCCAGCTAGCAGTTTGAAAGCATGCAAATGCGAGTAGATAAATAGGTACCACTTCGGTGGGAAGGTAACAGCATTCCGTGCGCCTCCTCAAAGTCATGCCAGCCACATGACCACAGAAGCGTCTTCGGACAACGCTGGCTACCTCAGCTAAGAAACGGAGATGAGCAGCGCCCCCCAGAGCCAGACATAACTGAATAGGGGAAACCTTTACCTTAACCAATCTAATTTCAAACCGTGCGATGCCACATTATCTTTCAGGCTTGAACAAGGGTGGACAATTTGGGAGGAAATTGGATATTTTTTTTTTTTAAAAAAATAGGGATAATTCCTTCTTGCAGGTGCCTCTTCCCCTCCCCTTTCTTTGCAACGAACAGAAATGGAATGCAAGGCTCGCTCCAGCTGTGAGCAGATAGTTGGCCTAGCAACAGGCTCTGTGTGTGTGTGTTTGTGTGTGTTTGTGTGTGTGTGTTAGGGACAGTTTATACCCTAGGGAGATCTGTAAACAGCCAGAGCAGGAAAGAGCACTGCAGGGTTTCCCCCGCAACCCCCCCCCCCGCTCCCGAAAAAAGCCAGATATTTCCCCGTTGCTTGGCTGCTAGTAATCCTTGACCTAAATGCACATATGTGTCAATGCTCAACGTTTAATTTTGTCAAATCCTCATGCTCAAAAACTCATTTTTTTGGGGGGGAATGTGTGATAACAAAAAAAATAACCCAGCAAACGCAGAAGACGAGACCCACAGACCTGCGTAGAGTACAGGTAGTCCTTGATTTATGACCGCAATCCAACCCCAAACTTCTGTTGCTAAGCGAGACGTTTGCTAAGCAAATTTTGCCCCATTTTATGCCAAGCGTCCAAATTTTGATCACGTGACCATGGGGGATGCTGCAAAGGTCGTAAGTGTGAAAAACGGTCATAAGCAGTGGTGGGCTGCTGGGGGTTCGCAGGGATTCGGAAGAACCTCTAGCTAAGATTCTGTGCAGTTCGGAGAACCCCCAAATCCCACTCCTGGCTGGCCCTCCCCACCCCACCCCTCCCCGGAGTCCCCACGTGGCCCGTTTTGGATGCAGGTAAGTGCAGGGTATGCACGGAGGCTCAGGGAGGGCAAAAAACGGGCCTACCGGAAGTTCAGGAAGGCCGGAAATGGGCCATTTCCAGCCTCCAGAGGGCCTCCGGAGCCTGGGGAGGGTGTTTTTGCCCTCCTGGAGCTCAAGGAAAGCCTCCGGAGCCTGGGGAGGACAAAAACACCCCCCCACACACACTATGGTGCAGGAAGCCAACTAGGCCACACCCACCATGCCACGCCCACCCAGCAACCGGGCAGACAACCCCTTGCTAAATTTTTTGAAGCCCACCCCTGGTCATAAGTCACTTTTTTCAATGCCTACGAAGATGGCGCCTGAAGAGGAGAGCGCCTTCCGCCTTACTCTGCTGACTTCCAGAAGTGGCCAGGGTGGGACAGGCGGCGGTTCCGCTTTGGCAGTTTCTCCAGCATCTCCATGAGTTTGGTGAACGTGGGTCGCTCCTCCTGCTCGTAGGCCCAACAGAAGAGAAGGATGTCCTGCGAAGAGAAGAGAAGGAAAGGGCTATGCGAGGAGAAAAAGAGAGAGAGAGAGAGAGAAGAGAGAAGAGAGAGAGAAAGAGGGAAGGGAAGGAAGGGAAGGGAGGAAGGAAGGAGGAAGGAAGAAAGAAAGGAAAAGGGAGAGACAAAGAAAAAGAAAGAAAGAGAATAAGAGAGACAAAGACAGAGAGAGAGAGAGACAAAATGAAGAGAAATGGAGAGATAGAAAAAAAAGGAGAAAGGAAGAGGAAGAGAAGGAAGGAAGGAAAAAGGGAGAGACAAAGAAAAAGAAAGAAAGAGAATAAGAGACAGGAGAGAGAGAGAGACAAAACAAAGGAAATGAGAGAGAAAAAGAAAAAGAGAAAGAGAAAAAGAGGAAGAAAAGGAAGGAAGGAAGGAAAAAGGGAGAGACAAAGAAAAAGAAAGAAAGAGAATAAGAGAGACAAAGACAGAGAAAGAGAGAAGAGAGACAAAACAAAGGAAATGGAGAGAGAGAGAAAAGAAAGGAGAAAGAGAAAAGAGGAAGAGAAGGAAGGAAGGAAGGAAAAGGGGAGACAAAGAAAAAGAAAGAAAGAGAATAAGAGAGAGAAAGACAGCGAAAGCGAGACTAAACAAAGAGGAGAGATAGAACAAAGAAAGGAGAAAGAGAGAAGGAAGAGGAAAGGAAGGAAGGAAGAAAAAGAGACAGAGAAGAAGAAAGAAAGAGAATAAGAAGAGAAAGACAGAAAAAAGACAGAAAAAGAGAGACAAAACAGAGAGAAATGGAGAGATAGAAAAACAGTGAAATACAGAAAGAAAGAAACAGAGGGAAAGAAAGAAAAGGAAGGAAGGAAGGAAAGAAGGAAAGAAAGAAGGAAGGAAGGACAGAAACTATGCCCTATGTGGGGAGCCAAACCAGTCTGAATTTATGGCAAATGCAGATGTTCAAACTCAGCATTTGCTGTTGCTGCAAACACCCAAGAACCTCCCGCCCTCCCTTCTAACTTCTCGTTCAGTCCTCTTCTCTTCCCCTTCATCCTCGCAGCAACCATGTACTTTCTGAAAGAACCTCACAGGCAGGGTGAGAAAGTTACAACAAGCCACCACCACCCACTTTAATCCACGCCACTTTACAGAACTGACACTGAGACATGGAGACATGCAAAGGGTGAGATGACTTGGCTTACACTAGCACTGATGAGGTTACCTAGTTTGGTAATAAAATGTCTACAAGGAAACCACCAAGCTCAGAGAGCACTAAGGACCCCACCATCCTCTTCTTCCCCTTCCTCCTCCTTCCCTTCTTCTCCTTCACATCTCCCTCCTCCTCCTCCCCTCCTCCTCCTGTGCTCCACAAGCCCCACTCCCTTCCAGCACTGATGATGTTACCTAGTTGGGTAATAAAAATGTCTGCAAGGAAACCACCAAGCCCAGAGAGCATCAAGGACCCCACCATCCTCTTCTTCCCCTTCCTCCTCCTTCCCTTCTTCTCCTTCACCCCTCCTCCTCCTCTCCTTCTCCTTCTCCTGTGCTCCACAAGCCCCACTCCCTTCCAGCACTGATGATGTTACCTAGTTTGGTAATAAAAACGTCTGCAAGAAAACCACCAAGCTCAGAGAACACTAAGGACCCCACCATCCTCTTCCTCCTTCTCCTCCTCCTCCCCCTCCTCCTCCTCCTCCTTGTAAACCTCCCTTTCTTCCAGAACTGCAGATGTTACCTAGTTGTGTAATGAAACATCTGCAAAAACAAACACAAAACAACAACAACAACAACAACAACAACAACATCAAGCTCAGAGAGCACCAAGGGTCCCTTTCCCGGTCTGGCTTTCTTCTCCACTCCCTACCACCGCTTCACCCGAAAGTCACCTACTGAAATCTCCTTCCCCATGCCGATCTGGCTGAGGTTCGGCTTCATCCCTCGGCCCACTTGCCAAATTATTGCCTCGGCTGGTTGGGTCTTGAATGGCCATTCCCGGGCGTACAGTTCATACCAGACGGTTCTGTGGAGGCAAAGTAGGAGAACAAGTTAACAAGTGTTGGGGATCTAGAAGCAGGGGTGAAACGCTATCGGTTCGCTCCGGTTCGGGCGAATCGGTAAGTTAAAAAAAAAGCTACCGATTCCTCTGAACCGGTATTTCCGACGATCAGCTGTGCTGCACGGTTTAGCTTTGCTGGAAGTTAGTGAAGCTAGCACGTGCAGCACAGCTGATCCCCGTCTCGCTGTTCTACTTACCTTCCCAAGCCTCCTTTTGGCGTGTAGTGTGCATGCATGCTCACGCAGCGTGTGTTTGGCGTGCACTGCGCATGTCTGCGCGCACAGTGCGCATGTGCAGCCAGCAAACCAGTAGCAAACCAGTTCAGATTTCACCACTGTCTAGAAGTACTCCCTCTTGCCATCAAAGCAAGAGGGTTAGGAGACAGCAGAGGACATCCTGGCATGCCTAAAGGGATAAGGAAGGGCCTGCTTTATGGCTTGCCTTCTGGAGAAGTGGAAAATGTTGTGGTTGGCTGTGCCCACTGTGGCAGCCATTTTGCGAGCATGCCTGCGGCAGTTCCTTAAAAATGCCAAACGAACTTGCGTTTCTTAATGACGATGATGGCCTTCAAGCCATCTTTGACTCGAGAACCACGTAAATAGATATTCTCCAGGACGATCTGTTCTCAAAGGACCGTCCTTTCGGCCTTCTTATTATAAGTCAATACCAATGGAAGCCCCAATCAAAGAAACACATTAAAGGCATCAATTGAATCTGATTTGTATATAAATGTAAAAGGACGATCACGCGTTAAACGGGCTATAAAAATGGCTTAAGTTTGAGCAAACACAGCATTCCACATTGGTTATTTTTACGCAGCGTGCCAAGCATATTGTGTTGGATTCAGCTTTTGTGGTCCATAAACTAGGACCGTGAGGGCGAACCTATGGCACGCATGCCACAGGTGGCATGTGGAGCCATATCTCTGGGCACACAAGCGTTGCCCTAGCTCAGCTCCAGCATGCATGTGCGCGCTGTCCAGCTAATTTTCAGGCCTTCTGGGCCCACCGGAAGTCGGGAAATGGGCTGTTTCTGGCCTCCGGAGGGCCTCTGGGGAATGGGGAAGGCTGTTTTCACCCTCCCCAGGCGCCTAGAAAGCCTCTGGAGCCTGTGGAGGGCGAAAAATGGGCTTACCAGGCCCACTGTGCCATCGTATGCCAAAAGAGGGGGGAACATGGGAGGTCATGCACGCATGCACAGAGGGTGGGGCGCATTGGATTATGGGTGTGGGCACACACACGCGCGACCTCCCCGCACTGCTCCCTCTTTTGGCACGTGACGGCAAAAAGGTTAGCCATCACTGAACTAGGATATATTCCCAACTGATTAGGTCAAACAAACCATGGCTTAGCACAATAGATGAACAGAAAAATGCCTTTTGGTATGTTTTTTTTTCTCTTACGCTGCTGGACGAACCCAGCTATGGAGGTCTGTGAGCTATTGTGCATTATTCACTTTTCTGGATTCACATTATCAAAACATTCTTTTATATTAAAAAGTTGCTTTATTTTGCTCTATCCAAGATATAGATTCACTAAATCCCTTGCAAATTTCTTACCAAGTGAAAAGATGGGAGATGCATCTTATTCTAAAAGCCATCACGAGCCAGATAATCTTTACACATCCTATCTACCCAGGATGGGATCTTAATATAATTTTTAACTGCCACCGCTTTTCCTAAAATGATGATGGAAGGTGCGAATAACCACCTGTGATAATAACCCTGAGGCACATGCCTTTCATTCATCAGGATTCCCCAGGAAAAAAAGAGAAGGGCACAATTCACATCTCATCCAACTTTGAATTCAGTAGCACCCGCTTAGAATCGCATCCTGTATTTATTTATTAATTATAGCCGCCAAACTCCAACAGCCTCCAAGATTGCAAGGGAAATCATGCAGATCAACCGAAGCGGCGGCTGAAGGTCATTTCGCAGATTGAAAAATCCCTACCCAAGAGGTAATTCTGTGCAGAAATGATGTGAATCCCTTGCACTATTTTTTTTTAAAAAAAATTGGGGAAGGGGGTAATGAGCGCGCACGATAAAAATGCCTCAATTAAACAGCTGCTTCTACCAGGGAAATTAATTTTTTTCTCCCCTCTGTGATGACATCTCCAATATGTTTTTTGCATGCATGGTTAAACATCCAGCTTCGGTATTGAGTTTTGGAGAAGTTACCTTAGATTCAATACTCTGTTTATTTATTTGCTTTTTCTTTTCCAATTGGCCCTAATAAATTATACTTATGGCCCTTCCCAGCCTGACACTCTTAAAACCTGCTGGGAATGTAAATCCCAGGAACTAAGATAGGCTCAAGATACAGAAGGATCTTGACAGACTTGAACATTGGGCACTATCTAACACTATCTACGGGACCGCCTGCTACCACCAATAGCCTCCCACCGACCAGTACGCTCCCATAGAAAGGGGCTCCTCCGGGTGCCGTCGGCCAAACAATGTCGACTGGCGGCCCCCAGGGGGAGAGCCTTCTCTGTGGGGGCACCTACTATCTGGAACGAGCTCCCCCCGGAGATACGGAGGATCCCGGATCTGCGCACCTTCCGTCGCACGCTTAAGACGTTCCTATTCCAGCAAGCCGGCCTGACCTAAACTTCTCCTCTTTTAAATGGGAATTTTAAATTTGGTTTTAAATTATTGGGGTTTTAAATATGGTTCAGCCAAATTTATTTAACTTGTTTTATTTCTATTTTAAATTTTGTATTTATATGTTTTATTTCATGGCTGTTCACCGCCCTGAGTCCTTCGGGAGTAGGGCGGTATACAAATTTAATAAAATGAAAAATAAAATGAAAAATGAAAATGAAATTCAACGGTGAAAAAAGGAAGGTTCTACATTTAGGGAAGAAAAACAAAATGCACAGGTACCGTATATGTATCTCGCTCAATAGTAGTAACCGCGAGAGGGATCTTGGAGTCCTAGTGGACAACCATTTAGTTATGAGCCAGCCGTGTGCAGCAGCTGCCAAAAAAGCCAACACAGTTCTGGGCTGCACAAACAGAGGAGAATTTCTTCCAATAACCGGTTCACCGAACTGCTTAGAAATTTAACAACCGGTTCTCCCGAATAGGTGCGAACTGGCTGAATCTCAGCACTGGGCAGACCCAAACCACAACTGGTTCCAGTTGGCCCACAGACTACTGGCCTCTGCCACTGAAAGAGGAGGAACCAAATGGGTCTTTCTCTCGGCCAGGCTGATGGACATCTTCTCAGCTTTGTCCTCCTCTGGACCTCTTGAGATGTGCTTCAAGAAAGCAAATTCTCAGTGCGCATTTTCTTCCTTTTGAGCTATCTCAGTATTCCAACAGTGGCCGTCAGCTCCAATTAGCATCTTGGCCTCTGTAGACATTTCCTACCTACGGATCTAGGAAGGGTTATTTCTCTCCCTTAAAGATAAATCTGAAGTAAGAACACTTATATCCTCTCCTAATAAGTGTTCACCAGCTCCGCTGTTTTTCTCTGGCGAAGAGAAAATGGATAATCCACACATGTGGCAACGTTTCCTGGAACTGTACAGTCCAGCTCCATTTTTGGACCTTCATTGTGCCAGGCAGATCTGGTTATTTACACTTGGGGTAATGCGATTAATCTCCAGACAGCTTGAGAACTGACCTGCCATGTTTAGAAGGTACGACATAGGCTGTCTACTTAGGGAAAGGGTATTCTCCAAACCCCAATCCGTAATGAAATATATGCCAGTGAGGGATAAAGGGGGTAAACCAGAAGCTGGATGGATTTAGGCAAAATATATATATAACGTTTTAAAATAGCAAGGGAAGACTTCTTACTCTTCCAAAGATCAGTTAGAGAATTTGTTTGGTGGTATTTAATTGAATGGCCCAGTTTCTGCTCTTAGAACTCTGGTGCGTATTTTCTTTCTGAACCAGGGGAGACATGATAGCAGTCTTCTAATATCTCAGGGGCTGCCACAAAGAAGAGGGAGTCAAGCTATTCTCCAAAGCACCTGAAGGCAGGACAAGAAGCAACGGGTGGAAACTAATCAAGGAGAGAAGCAACTTAGAACTAAGGAGAAACTTCCCGACAGTGAAAACGATTAACCAGTGGAACAACTTGACTGCAGAAGTTGTGAATGCTCCAACACTGGAAGTTTTTAAGAAGATGTTGGATAACCATTTGTCTGAAATGGTGTAGGGTTTCGTGCCTAAGCAGAGGGTTGGACTAGAAGACCTCCAAGGTCCCTTCCAACTCTATTATTCTTCTCTTCTCTTCTCTTCTCTTCTCTTCTCTTCTCTTCTCTTCTCTTCTCTTCTCTTCTCTTCTATTTTATTCTCTTCTCTTCTCTTCTCTTCTCTTCTCTTCTCTTCTCTTCTCTTCTCTTCTATTCTATTCTATTCTATTCTATTCTATTCTATTCTATTCTATTCTACTTACCTGAAACATATTTTGGGTTATATGTGTGGGAAAGCTCTCGATTCCAGATGTTGCATTGCAACCTCTGCTACGAATCCTGAAAGCAGTGATTCCATGACTTTAATTTGTTGGTAAGTTCCGAGAGCACCAGGACCCCTGATTTCCACTCTGAGCTACAAACATTCTCCTTTATCAATGTGACTTCTGGCCAAAATACACCCGATTTTCTCTGCCCCTTTGCATGTGAAAAAATCAGAGGAAAGTCGGGTTACTTCCTTTCAGGAAAAGTGTTCTTTGACATTTTTGCTGCCACTTCATTCTGTTTTGGAGGTAGTGAGTGGAAGTGATATATTTGCCATTTCCTTTCTCAGGGCCTTGGGGGTTTTTTCCCTGCAACTTCTGATTGAATTTAGGAGCAGAGGAAATAACCATTCTCAAGACTCCTGAACCGAGGAGGAGACTTTGGCTCAAACTGAGTGACATCATTTCCAGTCGTGGAGAAAAAGAAAGGCTATTTCAGGATCCAAAAACGTTTTCCTCTTCCTGTTTTTTTTTCCCCCTTTTTCTTTTCCAAAACTGAGTTTTTGCTTAGGAAACATAGTGAGGGAGGCTTGTGCAAGTGGGAATTTAAGACTTCAGCCCCTTTAAACGTGGAGTGGACTGCAGCATTTATAACTGTGAATACCTCCGTTGGGAGTTTGTTCATAGTTTGGACATTCGAATATAGTTTTTGCAACTGTGTCCCAAGCTGAAATCCCTTAAGAGCTTATAGGTAACAGGCAATTATTTTCTTCTTAATTATCTTAGCTGGCAGGATTAATATTTAACTAGTGCTGGACACTACGAAAAGTATGAGTGCCGATGGTGTCGCTATTCCTTTTCTAGTTGTCTGTTTGTGTGTTTTGTCAAAGGGAAACTTCAACCTATTATTTGTTAACTGCTGTTATTTTATTTGGCGTTGTGATTGAATTGGTAAAATATTAAAGAAATATCAGCAGTTATCGGGTCCAATGAAAAAAGCCCAAATGATATTTTAAAATCCAGTCCATCAAAAGGAAAAAAAAAGGAAGAAGAGAAGAGAAGAGAAGAGAAGAGAGAGAAGAGAAGAGAAGAGAAGAGAGGATCAGGATAGAGAAAGAGAGATAGATAGAGATATACTAGAGAGAGAGAGAGAGAAGAGAGAGAGAGAGAGAGAGAGAGAGAGAGAGAGAGAGACTATAGATAGATAGAGATACTAGATAGATAGATAGATAGATAGATAGATAGATAGATAGATACTATAGATAGATAGAGATACAGAGAGAGATACTAGAGAGAGAGATTCAGAGAGAGAGATACTATAGATAGAGAGAAATACTATAGAGAGAGAACTATATAGATAGAGATACTATAGAGAGAGAGATACTATAGATAGAGAACTATATAGATAGAGATACTATAGAGAGAGAGATACTATAGATAGAGAACTATATAGATAGATACTATAGATACTATAGATAGAGAGATACACAGAGATACACAGAGAGATACTATAGATAGATACTATAGAGATACTATAGATAGATAGATACTATAGATAGAGAGAGAGATATTAGAGAGAACTATAGATAGATAGAGAGATACTATCGATAGAGATACTATGAGAGAGAGAGATACAGAGAGATACTATAGATAGAGATACTATAGATAGAGAGAGAGATACTATAGATAGAGAGCGATAGATACACAGAGAGAGATACAGAGAGAGAGAAAAAGAATGAGAAAGAAAGAAAGAAAGAAAAGGAAGAAAGAAAGAAAGAAAGAAAGAAAGAAAGAAAGAAAGAAAGAAAGAAAGAAAGAAAGATGATATTTTCTCAAAATATAAACTTCAAATTAAAAAAATTACCCAGGGGTTCTGTCTGATAAGAACGCTCTTTCCTCAATAATTACTTTTGAAAGTCATACCAATGCTTGCATTGGATTTAATTGCTGTTTTCACCCACCAACCCCATGAAAACACATTACCAGATAAGAACTCGGTATAAATTAATCACTTTAGCGCTCTGTTCTTGAAGGTGCCCATCTCAGTGGCTTCCAAGAAAATTAATCCGTCAGATAAAAAAAAAAAAAATTAAAAAACCCACCCCTATTGGGCCAAAGGAAAGATTTTATCATAGGACAGGGAAACCTCTAAAAGATAATGATAAAAATGGATTCCCTGCCTCCCTTTGCTATGAGGCATGATAATTAATTGGGCAAGCAAAACAAGAACAACAATAAAACAAGAACAACAATAAATCAAACCACCAAATAAAGTGAAACTAGAACACCGTAGGAAACAAAACTTTCACGAACTGACGTTTTGTTTTCTACTGTTGCTCCGAACCATTTTCCTCTTCAAGAGGTTTTGCACGGCGGAATTCTCCTCCTGCAGAGAATTCCAAATATTGATTTTTATTACCCACAACTCTCTGCCCCTCTACTATGTCCCAACAGCTCACAGCTCACAGCACTTATACCACTGACCAATAAGGTTGATAGCACCACGTTTTCTCTCAGAGCTAAGCTTTTAAAGATAGTCCTTAACTTACAACCACAATTGACCCCACATTTTTTGTTGCTTTGTAACTATCTTTTGTTGCTTTGTAACTCTGAAGGACCATTAAATCCTCCTCCTCTTTTAATGACCCCGTAATCCCTTGCATCGGGGTGAAGTCTGGGCAATTGAATGGAGCTGAGTGTTTTACTGGCCAGATGCCCTTCCTGTTGCCAGCGCGGAGTTTTTGTTCAGCAGATATATTCTCATCGTGCCCAGAGAGAGAAATATCTGCCTCTACCTAGGATCGAACTCACAGCCTCTTGATTGTGAGGTGAGAGCTCCACCTCTAGGCCACTGCACCACTTCTGAACGATCATTAAATAAACTGTTGTAAATCGAGGGTTACCTGTACTTATTCATTGAAATTGATTAGGAAGGAGATGCCCTCCAAGGTCTCTTCCAGCTCAAAAACTAAGACTGTATTACTATTCTTGTCATCCTTACTAGTACCTATCTCTTCCCACTTATGGCTATATCCATGTTGCTTGTATCTTTTCAACTTATATTGTTTTTATTGTTTCCTAGTATGATTTGATTGCTTATTAGCATCCTATGACTATCCTATGAAGTGTTGTATCTTATGATTCTTAACAAATATATTTTATTTTTTCTTTATGTACACTGAGGGCATGTCCACCAAAGACAAATTCCTTGTGTGTCCAATCACACTTGGCCAATAAATCTATTCTATTCTATTCTATTCTATTCTATTCTATTCTATTCTATTCTATTCCATTCCATTCCATTCCATTCCAAATTCATATTCTATTCTATTCTATTCTATTCTATTCTATTCTATTCTATTCTATTCTATTCTATTCTATTCTATTCTATTCTATTCTTATTCCTATTCCTATTCTTATTCCATTCTATTCTAATTTTTCTATGATGCCTTTTTCTGAGGAATGGGTCTTATCACCCCGTGTCGTATTTCGACAATAGAACTGCCTCCTCTAGGATTAGTAATTTCCCCCAATATGGTTATTTTAAGGACCACGGAGCGCACAACCCTCTGTTTCAACCTCGGTGCCAAGACATTATCTTCATCCCCAACTAATGATTAATCCTATCAAAACTCATTATTGCCTATTTTGGAATTTGACTTCGCCCAGCTTGGCAGCTTCTCTTCATTACATGTTGAATAGCACTTGATTAAGAAGTAAGGCTTAGGCGTATCTTTCAGCTGACCGCAATTGTTTTGCAGGCCCGCGTCGGAAAAATACGTTGATTAAAGGAAGAAACTTTCGTCAAAGGGGCAGAGCGTTCTGTTCATCGCCCACCGCCCAAATTCACCGATGAGACGAAAAACTTATCGGGTTAGATAAGTTTCTTCCAAGACGACTTTCGAACACGTTCATTCATTCATTACCCTTCCACCCCACCCGTCCACCCGATAATGACATTTACCCAAAAGCAAAGACATCCGAATGCTTGGAGAAAGGTAGTTTGTCTTCTTCCGTTTTGGGTGACAGCTGGTGGATGATCTCTGGTGCCAAGTGGCACAGCCAACCATTCTGGATCCGTAGTTTGTTCTCTCTCCTGCAGGGCAAAAAAAAGAAGAGCCAATTAGTGTAAGCTCCGTCTTCGCCTTGGCTCTGTCATGTCTGAATCAAACACAGAAGAAACGGTATTGATTTTTTCTCAGTCTCTCCCCCCGTCCCCAAAACCCATGCTGAGCTGGCTGCTTTCTCGTTCCTCCCCCCCCCACCCCTCTCTCTCCTCTTCAGTGACACTTGGACTTACGAGATGGAAAACTTCGTAGTTTCGCTCGGCAACCTGCTGCTACAGTAGTGGCCAAAATTGTGGAAACCTTTTGGGAAAAGTGTTATTTTCTAAAACTAGCTAATAACACCACTTTTTTTTTTTTTTTTGAGGAGTACCATAACATTATATATCCATGCAAAGAGAATTGAATCAAGAATGTAATGCTCCATTTCTTGTTCTCCTTGTAACAAAGTAGATCACAATATCTCTTGGTAGTTGTCTCTGTCTGGCAATCCATGAATTAACGCGATAAATTTTGTCTATTTGCCAGTCGCACTCTGCTTTAGATTCTCCAGTAAACTGAGCAAGGGCTGCAAAAATCTCTCTGAGATTTTCCTGGTTATTTTCTTTCAAGCCTCTGACCCTCACTGCCCATTCCATCGCTCTGTATTACGTCATTATGAGTTCTGCTTCCGCCTTTTCCATCTTATTTTGAGCCTCTCCCAATTTAGCTTCCACATTCAAATTAAACTGATCAATTTCATCCACCCTTTCTTCCAATAATGTAACATGACCCACCAGTCCCTTAAATGTGTTATGGAAAAGTGTTATTTTCTAAAACTAGCTAATAACACCATTATTATTTTTTTTGGAGGAGGAGGAATACCATAACATTATATATCAATGGAAAGAGAATTGAATCAAGAATGTAATGCAATAGCTTTTAGGAAGGATTTGCTATTAGAACAGCAGTTACAGTCTAAAGAAGAAAAGTGAAACACGTAGAAAAAAATATGAGATATACAAAAATGATCACCCTAGAAAAAATGAGATATGCAAAAATGATCACCATTTCAGTTAATCCTTAGTTGGGTAACCTTTAACATGAATTATGGCCTTACAAGGTCTTCCCATGGAGTGAACCAAATCTTTTAGTTCTGCAGCTGTTATCATGTGAAACCAAGATTGAAAGATGGCTTCTATTAACTGGGTTTTATGGCTGGGTCACTTCAGACCCAGTCATCTCCATAGAGTTACAATGGGGTTAAAGTCTGGGCTATTCCCAGGCCATTCCAGCAGTGGAATAGGATTATCTTGAAACTCAAAAAAAAAGGGGGGGGTGTTATTAGCCATCGAACCTCAAAAATACACTTTTCCGAAAAGGTTTCCACAATTTTGGCTACTACTGTATTGTGACCTGATTGAAGGAAAATGAGCTCACAATAGCAATTGGTGTTTCTTTGGGCTTGGAGATCTCAACTGATCTCAAAAGGAAGATAAGGCCATGGCTTCTCACCATCTTACTGTCCTGTCACTGAAAAGGACTCTTCTCTTCGTTCACCATGTACTCCTAACGGTTGAAATTAAGGCATTGACCTGAAGATCCAGGAATTTCAACACCCTTCTCAAGGATACCATCCAGGAGTGGGCTTCAAAAATTTTAGCAAGGGGTTCTCTGTGCGGTTGCTGGGTGCGCGTGGCCATGGTGGGCATGGCCTAGTCAGCCTCCTGCACCACAGCGGGGGCTGGGTGGGGGCGGTTTTGCTCTCCCCAGGCTCTGGAGGCCTTCCTCGAGCCTCCAGTAGGGCGAAAATGGCCTCCCCAGGCTCCGGAGGCCCTCTGGAGGCTGGAAACACTGAACTTCCAGTAGGCCCATTTTTCGCCCACCCTGAGCCTCCACGCACGCCCTGCACTTACCTGCATCCAAAATGGGCCGCGTGGGGACTCCTGGGAGGAGTGGGGTGGGCGGGGACAGCCAGGTGTGGGATTTGGGGGTTCTCCAAACTGCACAGAATCTTAGCTAGAGGTTCTGCCGAACCCCTGCGAACCCCCAGCAGCCTATCCCTGATACCATCTGATGCATTACAATCAACAAACAAACAACATGCCACACCAAACAACAACAAAACTCTTTGTTATAGTTTTATTCAGCAGCAGACCCAAGAACTGGTGAAATTAGTGTCAGGGACTGGAAAAAAATGTCCCTCCAAGTGCTCGCTACTCTCCTTGACATAGGTGGAACTCAGGTCATCATCAAATGGACGTGTCAACTTAGAACAGGGGTCTCCAAACTGGGCAAATTTAAGACTTGGGGACTTCAACTCCCAGAATTCCTCGGCCAGCCAGAATTCTGGGAGTTGAAGTCCTCAAGTCTTCAAGTTGTCGAGTTTGGAGAGCCCTGACTTGGAACATGGAGGCCATGTTCCTCCTTCCCTCTATCCTCTCCTCTCTCCCTTCCTCCTGTCCTCTCCTCCCTTCTCTCTCCTCTCCTCCTTCCCTTCCCTTCTCTCCTCTTCTCTCTTCTCTTCTCTCTCCTGTGAGAACATATTCAGGCCTTGGTTTCTTGTATCTGTGGCCATGCCTGTTGGTGGCTTTCATTAGACTCTACTTGAGTTACACCCTTCTGGCCTTCTACCTTGAAGATCAAATGCCAGCATCCTTCAACCTACAGCCCTGTCCGTCTCCCATCAGGGGCTCCCAGTGCTGTGGCAGCAAATGAGGCTTTGAACGGCAAGTGGCTGTTCAATGAATCGCCAAAAGATCGGTTAAAAAGCCGGAGGTTACGCTGTCTTACTTGTCATCTGGTTTACTGTTTCTGAGTCTCGCCTGCTTATGAGGGGAGGAAGAAGGAAAAAGAAGGCAAGACATGTGCCTCCCATTTGTGGGCAGGCAGGCAGGCAGGCAGGCACACCACTGAATGTTTCAATGCCAGAGATCATTGACTTCCACAACATTAGACTTTCTTTTGCTTTTTTAGATTTTGTGTTTGCTTCCCGTCTCTTCTCCATTTCTCCCTTCCCTCCTCTCCTCTCCTCCCTTCCTTCTCTCCTTTCCTTTCCTCTCCTCTCCTCCATTCTCTCCTTTCCTCCCTTTCTTCTCTCCTTTCTTCTCTTCCCCTCCCCCTTCCCTCTATCCTCTCCTCTCCTCCCTTTCTCCTCTCCTCTCAGCCCTTCTCTCCTTTCCTTCCTTCCCCCCTCACCTCTCTTCCCCTCCCTCCCTCCTTCCCTCTATCCTCTCCTCTCTCCCTTCCTCCTGTCCTCTCCTCTCCTCCCTTCTCTTCTCTCCTCCTTCCCTTCCCTTCTCTCCTCTTCTCTCTTCTCTCTCCTCTCCTCCCTTCCTTCTCTCCTCCCTTCCCTCTCTCCTGTCCTTTCCTTTCCCCTCCTTTCCTCCCTCCCTTCTCTCCTCTCCTCTCCTCCCCTCCCCTCTCCTTTGGAAATTACACTTCTAGAACACATTACACATCTGGAAAGGGAGAAGGAAGGAAGGAAGGAAGGAAGGAAGGAAGGAAGGAAGGAAGGAAGGAAGGGGAACAGAAATCATCCCAAAGTTGGACACAGCACTCTCCTGCTGATTTAGATTTGAACTGGGTGGATCCTGAAACATCTTATATCTGGATCAGTGCTGACCAAGATCCACCAGAATGAAGAACAGACTTCATCTTCACGCTTTCCTTAGATCAGTCATTTCCTGCATCCTGTCCTAAACAAACCTCTCCTGTGCCTGTTGCAAGGAGAAAAAAACTGATGAATGGGTCCTTTTGTGAATTCCCCCAATCCGTAAAAAAAAAAAGCCCACAGATTTTCCAGAAAAGGTTGATCAACATACGCAAGCAGATGCTTTGCGAAATGAGACACGTTCACACACACCCGTTAGTTTAGTTCCCTGGGGAAGGAATGAGTAGAAAAGGCAGAAATTGAAAGTACAGAATGAGCCAGCATACCCAAGTCCCCGGGAAAACAAAAACAAAAACGCAGCTAATCAAAGAGGAGAGAAAGAAGTGAAATGAATCCACACAAAACTGTGTTAAAGGTTTGTGGCCAGATGCATTTCAGACCACCTGCTGTGCTTCAATAGCCCAATTCAAAATCTTGATTAAGAAACCACCTTCATTGGCGCATCTCGGTTTCTGGGCTCCCAAAGAGAGAGAGAGAGAGAGAGAGAGACAGAAAGATAGAGAAAGAGAGAGAAAAAGAGAGAGAGAGAGAAAGAGAAAGAGAGAGAGAGAGAAAGAGAGAGAGAGGAGAGGAGAGAGAAAGAGAGAGAGAGAGAGGGAGAGAGAGAGAGAGAAAGAGAGGGAGAGAGAAGGAGATAAAGAGAGAGAGAGAAAGAGAGAGAGGGAGATAGAGAGAGAGAGAAAGAGAGAGAGGGAGAGAGAGAGAGAGAGAAAGAGAGAGAGAGAGAGAAAGAAAAAGAGAGGGAGAGAGAGAGAGAAAGAGAAAAAGAGAGAGAGAGAGAGAGAAAGAGAGAGAGAGGAGAGAGAGAGAGAAAGAGAGAGAGAAAGAGAGGGAGAGAAAGAGAGAAAGAGAGAGAGGGAGATAAAGAGAGAGAGGGAGATAAAGAGAGAGAGAAAGAGAGAGAGAGTGAGAGAGAAAGAGAAAGAGAGAAAGAGAGAGAAAGAGAGAGGAGAGAGAGAAAGAGAAAGAGAGAGAGAAAGAGAGAAAGAGGAGAGAGAGAGAGAAAGAGAGAGAGAGAGGTGGAGTTAGACAGCTGTTCTGAATCCTTGCAAGAAAAGGGGGGATAAACGCAAAGTAAATAATTATGGTTTGGGGTTGGATGAACCTCTGGGGTAGTACGGGAAGGCTCCCCTCTCCCCGGAATAAAATATTCTACAGAATATTAGAAGAGGCAGAAATCAGTGGTGGTATTCAGCCTGTTCTATCCGGTTCGGGCGAATCGGTAGGGGCGACTGCAGGATGTCCCGGCTACCCGCACTGACGTCATGATGTCCCATTTTCCCACGTTTTTGAGGATCTGTGCATGCGCAGAAGGAAATGCGCGCACAAATTTACGAACCAGTAGGGAAGGTAAGTGAATACCACCCCTGGGCAGAATAGAATATCCCCCCCACAAAAAAAAGAAGAGGAGCAAAATCTCCTTAACAAAGGCACAAAGAAGCCCCCCCAGTCTTTGTTCTATAGGAAAACAGCCTCAGGCAGAAGCCTGAAGAGGTTACTTGGCTTTGCGAATGGATATTTTTGTAAAGCCAGGCCACTCTATTCATAAACAAAGGGCAGGCAGCAACTCCGAATAAGCAGCACGATAGGCAGGGAGCCGAAACTGACAAGATTAGCTCAGACAAACAAAAGACCTAGGACAGGGATGGCACACCTTTTAGGCACCGAGGGCCCAAACTGCAGGCGCGCGCACGCCCAAACTGAAAGGTGCACGTGTGAATGCGGATGCGTGCATGCACAGACATGCGCAAATTAGTCACACGGTTGTTAAGTGAATCTGTCTTCCCCCATTGACTTCGCTGGTCAGAAGGTCTAAAAAGGGGATCAACGTAAGCCCGTCATAAATCTGAGTCGATTGCCAAGTGTCTGAATTTTGATCAAGGGATGCTGCAACGTGTCGTACGTGTGGAAAATGGTCATGAGTCGCTTTTTTTAATGCCGTCGTAACTTTGAACGGTCACTAAGTGAACCATTGTAAGTTGAGGACTACCTGCAAGTACCTGTCCTGGAAGACACAGTTGCTTGCTTTTTAATTCTTCCACTGTATCGCTGTCACCACATAGCAAAGCTTGCTTTTCAGTCATCCTCCCCTCCCAAAAAAGGATCCCAAATACAACAACTTAATTGGCGCTTCTGCCTCTTGGGTAGAAGCGCCAGTTAAGTTGTGGGACGCGGTGGCTCGGTGGCTAAGAGGCTGAGCTTGTTGACCGAAAGGTCGGCGGTTCGGCAGTTCGAATCCCTAGTGCCGCGTTAACGGGGTGAGCTCCCGTGACTTGTCCCAGCTTCTGCCAACCTAGCAGTTCGAAAGCAGGTAAAAAAATGCAAGTAGAAAAATAGGGACCACCTTTGGTGGGAAGGGAACAGCGCTCCGTGCGCCTTTGGCGTTGAGTCATGCCGGCCACATGACCACGGAGACGTCTTCGGACAGCGCTGGCTCTTCGGCTTTGAAACGGAGATGAGCACCGCCCCCTAGAGTCGGGAACGACTAGCATGTATGTGCGAGGGGAACCTTTACCTTTACCTCTTGGAGGAAAGGAAAGAGGCAATTTCTTCTGTGGAGTAACAACAAATAAACGGAAAGATGCCGTTTGATTGGATCGCCAGTCACTGAATTGAGGCAGAGCCCGAGAAACACAATGTACGAATCACGCGGGGGGTTCCTGCCTTCTGTAGCCTGTGCCGCGCCTGACTCATCCGAAGAGAAAAGGGGGTAGCGTAGGGTGGGAGTGGGCAGGGGAGAGTGAAGACAGATGTTTGCAGATTTGCTCTCTGCTCTCTCTCCTCCCTCCCTCCCTGAGTCATGATAGCAATAGCCCTTAGACTTAGATACCGCTTCGTAGTGCTTTTACAGCCCTCTCTAAGCGGTTTACAGAGTCAGCCTCTTTTCCCCAACAATCTGGGTCCTCATTTTACCCACCTTAGAAGGATGGAAGGCTGAGTTCGACCTTGAGCCCGTCAGGATCGAACAGCTGGCAGTGGGCAGTCAACAGAATGAGCCGGCAGTGCTGCATTCTAATCACTGCACCACCATGATGCCCATTTGCCAGATGAAGTAGGAGGACCAATCCCTCCCTCTCCATCTTTCTTCCTCTCTCCCTCTCCCTCTTCCCTCTTTCCTTCCCTCCCTCCCTCTCCATCTTCCTTCCTTCCTTCCCTCCCTCTCCATCTTCCTCCCTCCCCCCTCCCTCCCTTTCTTCCTCCCGCCTTCTCCATCTTCCTTCCTTCCCTCCCTCCCTATCTTCCTCTCTTTCCCCTCCCTCCTTTCTTCCTCCCACCTTCTCCATCTTCCTTCCTTCCTTCCTTCCTTCCCTCCCCTCCCTCCCTTTCTTCCTCCCACCTTCACTTCCTTTCTTTCTTCCTTCCCTCCCTCCCTATCTTCCTCTCTTTCCCTCCCTCCTTTTCTTCCTCCCACCTTCTCCATCTTCCTTCCTTCCTTCCTTCCCTCTCTATCTTCCTCCCTCTCCCCTCCCTCCCTTTCTTCCTCCCACCTTCTCCATCTTCCTTCCTTTCTTCCTTCCCTCCCTCTCTATCTTCCTCCCTCTCCACTCCCTCCCTTTCTTCCTCCCACTTTCTCCATCTTCCTTCCTTCCTTCCTTCCTTCCTTCCTTCCTTCCTTCCTTCCTTCCTTCCTTCCACAATCCAAGATCCCAAAACAGCCAGGGAAAACTTTTTAAATAACTTTTTAAAAAGTCTGAACACAATGACTTTTCTTCTTCCTCCCCCTCGCCCTTCCCATTTTGACCATGTATTTAAAGTTAGAAACTCCTCAGTGCTAATATCTAGAAGCCTCTCTCGTACCAAAGAGCCGGATAAAATTGCTTTAAATAAATAACTAATTATACGATAAACCTGGAGAGGGTATAAATAGACCATCATTTTTTTGCGGAGGGGTGGGGGAAGGCGGAATAAGAAATATTAAACCTACACAGGGTACAGTTAACCACTTCAACTTGACAATTGATACACCTCAGAGAAGGAGGGGGACAGAAAAGAAAGAGAGAAATAAGCAGGCCATTATCTCCTTTTTAATCCAAGTGCCTTTGACACACCATAATTACGGAAAGATTAAAATGTGTGATTTATCTCACAGGCGGCTTTGCAATAAAGCAATAATTAACTGCAAGGAAAATCTGCACAATAGCTGCGGTTTTAATTCCATTCCTTTTTCTTTTTCTTTCCTTTTCTTTCTTTTTTTTTCTTTTTTTAATTTGGGAAAGAACCTGCAAGTACAACATTACATCTAAATCGGAGACCGCAGGCGATGAAATTTGCCTTTTTTTAAAAAAAATGTTCTTGAAACAAATTAATTAAATTCCTAGGGAGAAAGATCGAACGCGGGGAAGCGAGAAGGAAGGGGGCCCCTGCTTGGAAAGGGTCTGGATGACATGGTGTATGATGTCACAAACCATTTTAGGATAATGTTGAGGTCATAAAAGGGAGGCGGTGGCTCAGGGGAGAAGACGCTGAGCTTGTCGATCGAAAGGTTGGCAATTCCGCGGTTCGAGTCCCTAGTGCCGTGTAATGGGGTGAGCTCCCGTGACTTGTCCCAGCTTCTGCCAACCTAGCAGTTCTAAAGCACGAAAAAAAAATGCAAGTAGAAAAATAGGGACCACCTTTGGTGGGAAGGGAACAGCGTTCCGTGGGCCTTTGGCGTTGAATCATGCCGGCCACAGGACCACGCCGGCCACAGGACCATGGAGACGTCTTCGGACAGCGCTGGCTCTTCAGATTTGAAACGGAGATGAGCACCGCCCCGTAGAGCTGGAAACAACTAGCATGTATGTGATAGGGGAACCTTTACCTTTACCTTTAACCCTAATAAAGTCCATTCCTGATTACCTAGTTTGGGTCATAAAATATCTGCAAAAAAACAACCAAGCTCAGAGAGCACTAAGAACCCCACAGTTCTCCTCCTCCTCCTCCTCCTCCTCCTCCTCCTCCCTGCAAACTCCACTCCCTTCTAACACTGATGATGTTGCCTAGTTAGGGTCATGAAACTTCTGCAGGAAAACAAGCAAGCTCAGAGAGCACCAAGGATCCCTCATGTCAACCCTGAGCTACACGTATACACGAAGAGCCGAGGTGGCGCAGTGGTTAGAGTGCAGTACTGCAGCTACTTCAGCTCACTGCTAGTTCAGCAGATCAGCAGATCGAATCTCACCAGGCTCAAGGTTGACTCAGCCTTCCATCCTTCCAAGGTGGGTAAAATGAGGACCCAGATTGTTGGGAGGCAATATGCTATTTAGTATACTGTCTTTGTTGTAAGCTGCCCAGAGTCCTCAGAGAAATACGAATAATAAATAAATAAATAATAAATAAATAAATAAATACTCCTTCGTTGGCATTGTGTTATAAAATTGAAAGAACAAAACTGAACAAACTCCGTGAAAGAATGAAAGGAAGTCTCATTCTTCTCTCTCCCACCCTGGAAAAGGGCATCTGAATGTTGTCTTATAAATTCCCCCAAGAAATGAATCAACGTTCCTCTTTCCCAGAAAACCCAAGTGCCCTCTGTAAGACTTTCATGCTGTCCAAAGTTCCACTTGGAAACATAACCACCAGTGAAGAGGGGGGAAAAAAAAAGAGGAGCGAGGAAGGCAATGTCCTTCAACGTACCTGCCCGCTTGTAGAACTCCAGAGATAGTGAAGAGGCCGAAATCTGTAATCACCACTTTTCCGTTGTCGTAGAATATATTCTTGGATTTCAGATCTTTATGGAGGATTCCCTTCGCGTGCAGGTAGCCCATTCCCTGAAAAACAAGGAAACGAAGCAAACGGTTGCAGAGAAACTTCTGTGCCATTTTTAAAATAATTCTTAGATTTATACATACACGTCCAAAAAAAAAAAAACTAAGATGTTTTTGGGATCCACGTTAGATGTTGGTTGATTTAGAATGCATCTTACCATAAAGTCTGAAGGTTCCTTAAAAGCCCATCGGCTCCAAACCCAGATCAATATACAGTAGTGGCCAAAATTGTGGAAACCTTTTTGGGAAAAGTGTATTTTTGAGGTTTAATGGCTAATAACACCACTTCAAGATAATCCTATTCCACTGCTGGAATAGCCTGGGAATAGCCCAGATCTTAACCTAATTGAAAATCTATGGAGCTGACTACAGAAACTTGTTAGTCAGAAATGACCCAGCAATAAAACCCAGTTAATAGAAGCCATCCTTCAATCTTGGTTTCATATTAGAACAGCTGCAGAACTCAAAGACTTGGTTCCCTCCATGGGAAGACGTTATAAGGCCATCATTCATGCTAAAGGTTTCCCAATTAAGGATTAACTGACATGGTGATAATTTCTGTATATCTCATTTTTTTCTATGGTGATAATTTTTGTACATCCTGTTTTTTCTACATTTCACTTTTCTTCTTTATACTGTAACGGCTATTCTAATAGCAAATCCTTCATCAAAGTTATTGCATTACATTCTTGATTAGATTATCTTTCCATTGACATATAATTTTCTGGTACTACTCCAAACAAACAAACAAACAAAAAAAAGTGGTGTTATTAGCTAGTTTTAGAAAAATACACTTTTCCCCAAAAGGTTCCCACAATTTTGGCCACTGCTGTAGGTTAAGCAGAATGCCTAACGATCTCGAATAAAAGAAACATAGAAACATAGAATCCTAGGGCTGGGAAAGACCTTGGACTTTTGATCATCCATCTGATCAAATCAATTTCTTTTCTATTTTACCAATTACACATATATTATCATGGTGGTTCATTTATGTGATGGCATGGTGGGCCCATTTTTCACCCTCCAGAGCCTTTCTAGGAGCCTGGGGAGGACAAAAACGGCCTTTCCCACTACCCCCGGAGGCTGGAAATGGCCCGTTTGCTGACTTCTGGTGGGAGCGGAAGGCCCATTTCTGCCCTCCAGGGGGGAGGAGAGAGGCCATTTTCGCCCTCCCCAGGCTCCTAGAAAGACTCTGGAGCCTGGGGAGAGCGAAAAACAGGATTTACCCCTCCCCAGGTCCTCCAGAGGCCGGAGCCTGCTTCCCTACTTCCAGTGGGCCCAGAAGGCCTGAAAATCAGGTAGCTGCATATGTGCCATAGGTTCGCCATCACGGATCTAGTGTGAATTCAGTTTTTGCGTGTCTTCCGGCTTCTGGCATTGCATTGGAGGTGGCCTTCTCAAACTCACACATCAAGAAGTACCCAAGAAGATCCCTTTTTGTGGATTTGATCCTGATTCTAATCCAGCAATGCCTGCATCAAAGATACCCCATCTGGATGCAGCCTGGGCAAGACCGAGGAGGAAGCCCCTGAATGCCTGCCAAAGTACATCGCTACGTTGGGATTGTTAACAATAAGGGAGAAAGTGGCCAAATCGATGCGGAAACGTCCTATGATCGGTTGTGTTTTTGTGCAAGTCACAGTTCATGGGAAGTCACTGGAAACGTTCCACCCATTTTTTGGATTGCTGCCGGCAACCCAAGGAGTCCACAAAAGGAGTTGGGTGACCTTGACCTACGCCTAAAAGTCCTCTACTGGTTCCAGCCCAGAGTATCTGAGTTGCTTCCTTCAAACAGCTAGATCATCTCTGCTCATTGGAAGGGCAGAAGACAGTGGAGCTGCTCACGGGATTCATTTCTCCCATACGGTTATAAAAGAATAGCAATAAAACATCAAGGAGCTACCAGAAAGCCCCCATCTTGAAAGGAGGAGGGGGAGGGGGAGGGGGAGGAGGAGGAGGAGGAGGAGGAGGAGGAGGAGGAGGAGGAGGAGGAGAAGAAGAAGAAGAAGAAGAAGAAGAAGAAGAAGAAGAAGAAGAAGAAATAGTTGCAGCAGCGATGGGTGAAGATGATAAAGATTCCTTGGAGTTTGGTGAGTTGAGAACTCATCACTCAGGGAAAGTCTCCAGTGATCAGAAGGTGAAGATGGATCACTCTCCACTCACCTGCCCCCACTGTCATCTCAAATCCACTCATGGCTTGCTTGCAACATTGGTGTTAATGGTTTAGAAAGATAATGGATGTGGAGACAGGGTGATTTGTCATTAGCCTTTCTCCTCTATCAAAAGCTCCTTTTCAGTACTCACAAACGCTGCCATCTCAGGTCCTACCGGCGGTTTTTTGGAAGAAAGATACGTCTAGAGAGAATGTGAGTCACTGGCTCCTTGGCTAAAGTGTCCAGTTTTGTCTCTCCTCCAGGCATTCATCGAGGAATTTATAGGAATGTCCAAATAGATGCTACCCAGAGATGATGACTCGTTGGTAACAACAATGTTTGGGACAGAAGGTCAGAGAACCTGACTCGCCATAAATAGAGACATGAGTCATAGGACTTATCCTAAGGAGTATCCTTCCAGGCCTAATCTTAGGGAAAGTTTTTTTGGGGGGGGAGAGGGGCAGGGAATCACACCGCTATTTCCAGCTGCCTGTCAACTTGCAAAGCTTTCAAGTTGCCTTGAGCAGGAGAGAGGGAGAATTGATGGAGCTGATTGATTTCCCTAACTGAAACTACATTCCACAGATGCTTTGCTACCGCAATCAGGAGGAGAGTTTTGGGTTTCACAGCCAGCCAAAGTGGTTAATTGGAGAATGTGATTTATGACATGGCCAAGGAGGAGGTGAGAGACAGGATCATAGGGAAACGTAAATCTACGTGGTATTTACAAGCATTTATTAGATAACATATATAAGTATAGACATAATTATGAATACATGAGAAGGATACAAATAAAAGGGTACATTAGGACAGAGACAGTAGGCATGTTGGTGCACTTATGCACGCCCCTTACAGACCTCTTAGGAATGGGGTGAGGTTGACAGTAGACAGTTTAAGGTTAAAGTTTTAGAGGTTTGGGAAAGAAAGCACAGAGTCAGGTAGTGCATTCCAGGCATTGACTACCCTGTTGCTGAAATCGCATTTTCTGCAATCGAGTTTGGAGCGGTTTACCTTGAGTTTGTATCTATTATTTGCTCGTGTATTGTTGAGAGTGAAGCTGAAGTAGTCGTTGGCAGGAAGGACATTGTGGCAGATAATTTTATGTACTATGTTTAGGTCAGCATAGTCGGCATAGTTCTAAGTTGTCTAAGACCAAAATTTGGAGTCTGGTGGCAAAAGGTATTTTATTGCTGTTAGAGGACTCTTCTCGTAAAATATCTCTGTACTCTCTCGATTGTATTTATGTCCGATATGCAGTGCGGGTTCCAGACAGATGAGTGTATTCAAGAATTGGTCTAGCAAATGTTTTGTATGCTGTAGTTAGTAGTACAACATTACCAGAGAAGAAGCTACGCAAGATTAGGTTAACAACTCTTAATGCCTTTTTGGCAATGTTGTTACAGTGGGCTCTGGCAGATAGATCTTTAGAAACAAGTACTCCAAGGTCCTTGACAGTGTGAGGGTCATTTTGTTATACTATGCCTTCAGAACTTTAAAAATGTAGTGGAGCAAGTGGTTAGACTGCATTATTGCCGGCTGACTCTGCCCACTGTCAGGTGTTCGATCCTGACTGGGCTCAAGGTTGAGTCATCTTTCCGAGGTTGGTAAAATGAGGACCCAGATTGTTGGGGGCAATATTCTGACTGATAGGTTGCTTGGAACCCTGACACTGACTCTGTAGACTCTGTAGACTGCTTAGAGAAGGCTGTAAATACTGCAGCGGTATATAAGTCTTAAGTGCTATTGCTATTAAGAATTTGTGGAGCATTGGAGGAGGGACAAAAAAGGTAGAATGAGAGTAAATGTCCATTTCAACCTGCCTTCCATGGAGGGCCTGTATACTGCACGAGTCAAAAAGAGGGCTGTGAAAATATTTACAGACTCCTCGCATCCTGGACATAAACTGTTTCAACTCCTACCCTCAAAACGAGGCTATAGAGCACTGCACACCAGAAACAACTAGACACAAGGACAGTTTTTTCCCGAACGCCATCACTCTGCTCAACAAATAATTCCCTCAACACTGTCAAACTATTCACTAAGTCTGCATTACTATTACTATTAATCTTCTCATCGTTCCTATCGTCCATCTCCTCCCACTTAGGACTGCATGACTGCAACTTGTTGATTGTTTCCTAATATGACTTGATTGCTTATTTGTACCCTATGACTATCATTAAGTGTTGTATCTTATGATTCTTGATGAATGTATCTTGTCTTTTTATGCACACTGAGAGCTTATGCACCAAAGACAAATTCCTTGCGTGTCTAATCATACTTGGCCTATAAAGAATTCTATTCTATTAAGCGAACCTGGCTTCCCTGTTGAGTTTGCTTGCCAGAATATTTGGAAAGACAAACCGTGAAGCACACAGAAAACACAGTTCAAGGCTGAGTTTAACGTCACTCAACAAATCTTCTTTAATTCATGGGTCTTCTCAATATCCTATGACTATCACTAGGTGTTGTACCTTATGATTCTTGACTAATATATTTTATTTTGCACTGAGAGCATAAGCACCAAAGACAAATTCCTTGCGTGTCCAATCGCACTTAGCCAAGAAAGAATTCTATTGTTTCAGATAACGTCTCCTCATCTTGGAAATCCACACTGAAATATGGTTTCTCAGGTAACAGCCTTCTTGCCCTGGAGCTCCCAGATATGATAGTTGTGACATGGAAGCAGGAATGTGACATAGCACGTCAGGTAGAGCAGGCAGCATCTAAACAGGAGAGCTTTCAGACCAGCAATCCTACAGGTGTGTCTCGTTTTATTGTGCTTTTTTGCAGTTATTGCGTTTTTAACAAGACTCTCCCCTGGCGAAAAAGATTACGACTCACGGAAGGCTCAGTGTATGATTAGCGTCATTAGCAATCAGATGCTTTTTAATTAAGGCGTGTAGAGGGTTGTTGTTGTTTTTTTACATCTAATGCTATTGCGCACTTAATGTACTACAGCGCCTGTAAATATACGTAACTTCTCTATGCACGGGGAAACAAAAAAAAAACCAACCCACTTTTTTTTCACACTTACGACCGTCGACGCATCCCCCATGGTGATTCGAAATTCAGATGCTTAGCAACTGATTCATATTTATGATGGTTGCTGGGTCATGTGATCACCTGGGGTCAATAGGGGAAGCTGGATTCACTTAACAACTATGCCACTAACGTCACAAAGGCAATAATTCGCTTAATAACCGTGGCAAGAAAAGTCGTGAAATGGGGCAAAACCCACTTGACGAATGTTTCACTCGGCAACATACGTCTTGGGCTCAATTGTGATCGTAACTCTTGAGGGCTGCGTGTCTCTAGATCAGGGGTCAGCAACCTGCGGCTCTGGAGCCGCATGTGGCTCTTTCATCCCTCTGCTGCGGCTCCCTGTTGCTGGTCGGCTCCACAGTTGATAGGGCTTTCGGTTAGGAGAGGTAGAGGAAAAAGGATGCCGTGCTAGGAGGAGACTCTATGGTGGGGGAACCGGACTTCCGGTCGGCTCCAGAATTGAATGGGGGCTTCCGGTTAGGACCTTTGTGGCTCTTTGAGTGTTTAAGGTTGCCGACCCCTGCTCTAGATACTCATCAAAACTGCAAGGAACACATACATTGCTTTCAAATGACTGGTGAATTTTTTTTTTAATTTGTTGTAAGGAACGGGACACACACACACAGTGTCAGGAATCCATGTCTCTTTGATAGCCAGAGAATGGAGAAGAAGGGGGGGGGGGAATATTAATGGAAACCTATGACAGAGTCATGTGATTGGCTTGGGCTAGAACTGGATAGAGAGAAATGATTGAGGTGACAAAGTAATAGCAATTAAGTGCTATTGCTATTACTTTGTCACCTCAATGACTTATATACCATTTCACAATGCTTTGCAGCCCTCTCTAAGCGGTTCACAGAGTCAGCCTATTGCCCCCCAACAATCTGGGTCCTCATTTTACCCATCTCGGAAAGAAGGACGAGTCAATTTTGAGCTGGTCAGGATCAAACTGCTGGCAGTCAGCAGAGTTAGCTTGCAATACTGCATTCTAACCACTGTGCAAAATGGATGGATGGATGGAAGGAAGGAAGGAAGGAAAGAAGGAAGGAAGATAGATAGATAGATAGATAGATAGATAGATAGATAGATATACAGATAGACAGATAGATAGATGATACAGTAGATAGATGATAGATAGAAGATAGATAGATAGATAGATAGATAGATAGATAGATAGATAGATGATACAGTAGATAGATAGATAGGATACAGTAGATAGATGATAGATAGAAGATAGATAGATAGATGATACAGTAAATAGATAGATAGATAGATAGATGATACAGTAGATAGATAGATAGATAGATAGATAGATAGATAGATAGATGATAGATAGATGATAGACAGACAGACAGACAGACAGACAGAGAGATAGATACTGCCCCACAGTGCTTTACAGCCCACTCTAAACGGTTTACAATCCGGGTCCTCATTTTACCCACCTCGGAAGGACGGAAGGCTGAGTCAACCTTGAGCCTGGTGAGATTCGAACTGCCAAATTGCAGGCAGCCGGCAGTGAGCAGAAGTAGCCTGTAGTACTGCACTCTAACCACTGCGCCACCTACGCTCGAGGGATACAAAGGTATTCCATGTTCCATATGGTGGGAACCTTCCTTCAGTGAATTTTCCCTGAAACGCTCAACCTGGGCCTCCCCAGAGACAATCGAATCATGGATGATTCTGGCCACTGTGATCAGGAAGACTAACATCTGGGGGGGGGGTCTCTATAAAAAGCCTTCTAAACGCCCATCTGTCTCTGGGTTTACAGATGGATTATTTTAAGCGAGTTCCATTGTTTCGGGAGCTTTAAGGGTTGGGGGGTTTTTTTGTTTTTTTTTACACCAGCTTTGGGGATTTGGGGATTTGTGTAGTGGTGATTTCTTCTCCTGGCATCAAATTACCCGCTTGAGACTGCCCAGGACATGCCGAGAGCAAGCCCTCCTCCTCCTCCTCCCCTCCCCTCTCCCCTACCTTGACAATCTCCTGAGCAATCTGTCGTGTTTTGTTGACATCCAGGACGATTTTGACATCTCTCACCACCGAGTAGAGGGTTCGTCCTTTGCACAAGCTGAAAAGGAGAGCAGAATTTTAAGTGGCTGACAGTGGCAAGGGGATGGGGAAGGAAAAGAAAACCGGGGCCCAAAAAGCCTGCCGTGAAATCTGGAAAGCGAGTTTGGGAAAGAAAGAAAAAGAAAGAAAGAAAGAAAGAAAGAAGAAAGAAAGAAAGAAAGAAAGAAAGAAAGAAAGAAAGAAAGAAAGAAAGAGGGAGGAAAGGAAAGGAAAGAAGGAAGGATGGAAAGAAGGAAGGAAGGAATAAAGACAGAGAAGAAGAGAGAAAGAGAGAGAAAGAGAGAGAAAGAAAGAAAGAAGGAAGGAAGGAAGGAAGGAAGGAAGGGACAAAGACAGAGATAGAGAAGAAAAGAAAAAGAGAGAAAGAAAAAGAGAGAACAAAGGAAGGAAGGAAGGAACAAAGACAGAGATAGAGAAGAAGAGAGAAAGTGAGAGAAAAAGAGACAAAGAAAGAAAGAAAGAAGGAAGGGAGAAAGAAAGGGCAGGAGGGATGGACAGAGATAAACAGAGAAGAAAAGAAAAAGAGGAAGAAAAAGAGAGAAGGAAGGAAGGAAGGAAGGAAGGAAGGAAGGAAGGAAGGAAGGAAGGAAGGAAGGGACAAAGACAAAGATATAGAGAAGAAAAGAGAAAGAGAGAAGGAAGAAAGGAAGGAAGGAAGGAAGGAAGGAAGGAAAGAAGAGGCAAACCAAGCAGAGAAATAGAGAAATAGAGAAAGGGGGAAAGATAGAGAGAAAGAGAGGGGGGAAAAGAAAGAAGGGAAGGAAGGAAAGAAAGAAAAGAGGTGGATTTCCAATCAGAACAACTCATCACACTTTGGGTAGAGAAGGTCGTACGCAGGGAGGAACCTCCCATTCAAATTTGGGAGGTTCAGAGGTTTGCGGGCATCCCCGGTGCCCACTTTTACGCCAGCCTCCCTCCAGCCCCTGTTATGATGGCCAGGCTGAGAAAAGGGAGGGAGGAATAATAATAATAATAATAATAATAATAATAATAATAATAATAATAATAAAATAAAATCGTCAGCCGGGCAAGATTTGCCCATCTTCCTTTTTCTGCTGCCGAGAGAAGATCTATTTGTGGAGTCTTAATTACCAAATGCAGCTGCCGGTGCTGGGGGTGGGGGTGGGGTGGGGGGGCGAGAAAGGAGGGGACCCTGAAACCAATTAAAATCCGTATTGACATTTGAATCATGTAATGGAGCCTGTGGGTGGATACTGCCTCGACTTCTTCCCCCCCACACACACTGAAAAGACCCCCTTCTCTGGCACACACACACACACACACAATCACACACCGATTCCCATGCCCACCTACGCTCGTGACGGGCAACGGGAGGAAGCATCAGGCTAAATACCTGATAATAAACCCTCGGAAATTAAAAATAATAAAAAAAAAGCAGCTTGGAGGATCGCAGGTGTGAATTTAATCTGGTCCTGCTGCGAGGGGTAAGAGAGGAGGCAGGATAGGCGTCCTTGCTTCCTTCTGCCACCCACCCTCAGCTGCCAACATGACGTTCCAGCTTCTACCTCCCTGGCATCCAGGGGTGGGCTTCAAATTTTTTTAGCAAGGGGTTCTCTGCCTGGTTGCTGGGTGGGCGGGGCCATGGTGGGCGGGGCCTAGTCAGCCTCCTGCACCAGGGGGGGGGGGGGGGGGGGGTGTTTTTTTTTTTTTGCCCTCCCCAGGCTCCAGAGGCTTTTCTAGAGCCTCCGGGAGGGCGAAAACGGGATGTTTGTTTGCAGACATTTCATTACCCAACAAGGCAACATCATTGAATATTGAATACTGGAGACCAGCTCCAGTGGTGGAATTCAAATTTTTTTACTGCCGGTTCTGTGGGCATGGCTTGGTGGGCATGGCTTGGTGGACGTGGCAGGGGAAGGATACTGCAAAATCCCCATTTCCTCCCAACTCCAGGGGAAGGATACTGCAAAATCCCCATTCCCTCCCCACTCCAGGGGAAGGATACTGCAAAATCTCCATTCCCCCCCACTCCAGGTGAAGGATACTGCAAAATCTCCATTCCCCCCTACTCCACGGGAAGGATACTGCAAAATCTCCATTCCCCCCCACTCCAGGTGAAGGATACTGCAAAATCTCCATTCCCATCCCACTCCAGGAGGAAGGATATTGCAAAATCTCCAATCCCACCCCACTCCTGGGGGAAGGATACTGCAAAATCTCCATTCCCTCCCCACTCCAGGGGAAGGACACTGCAAAAACCCCATTCCCACCCCACTCCTGGGGAAAGGATACTGCAAAATCCCCATTCCCTCCCCACTCCTGGGGGAAGGATATTGCAAAATCCCCATTCCTACCCCACTCCAGGGGAAGGATACTGCAAAATCCCCATTCCCTCCCCACTCCTGGGGCCAGTCAGAGGTGGTATTTGCCGGTTCTCCGAACTGCTCAAAATCTCCCGCTACCAGTTCTGCAGAACCTGTCAGAACCTGCTGAATAGAATCCCTGACCAGTTCCCATTTTTGACCTGGTCTACAACACAGACCAAGATGCTTTCCGGAATAATGGCCATTTCATTTTCCACATGGGGGAAGAAAGAGAAACGACTTGGGAGTTTTCCTTATGACATTTCTAATATTTCTGTCTTTCTCACAAGTGTAAGGGATGCCTGGCAGGAGCCCGGGGTTCAATGGGGCAAGCAAACTTGCTAGCCCCCACACCGTCTCTCTCTTGCGCTTCTCTGTCATACCTCATCTCCGCAACAATGGGGTAGTTGGACCATGCAGAACGGGCTATCTGTGTGGCCATCCCATCCCACGTCTGAAGAATTCTGCAAATCAAGCAGTCAACGAAGCCTTGGCAGGGCCTGCTGCGGTGGAAATTCAAAACGTCCGGAAGATGGGGTGGGAATTAATGAGCAAGAACTGGAGATGGTACGAACTGCTCAGCTTCTCCTGAGGGAGTTCGCGCAGGCTTGGAGCAGGTGGTCTAATATATATATATATGCATATTCTTTCTAGCCAAGTTTTACCTACGTAAGCTAAGATGTTCTACGGCCCTGGTTCTGTGAAATCTCATTCACAAGTTTCTGGGCTTTCTGTTTCTTGCTGACAAACAGCAACTCTGTGCTGCTCTTTGGGAGACTCAAATAGCTATTTCTGCCTTGTAAGGCGTCATCAGTGAGCCACACCCTCTTCTCAGGTATCCTCCCTGTAAAGGTACAATGTGTCTTTTTCTTTTTCGTAGGCTTTTATGTGCATATTCTTTCCAGCCAGGTTTTACCTACGTAAACTAAGATGTTCTACAGCCCTGGTTCTGTGAAATCTCATTCACAAGTTGAAATCTTGTGAATGAGATTTCACAGAACCAGGGCTGTAGAACAACTTAGCTTACGTAGGTAAAACCTGGCTAGAAAAAGACATATATATATATATATAACTGAAAGGAAGTAGTTCTCCATGGGTGTATTTAGTTTGTTTGTTTGTTTGTTTATTTGTTTGTTTATTTGTTTGTTTATTTGTTTATTTATTTATTTATTTATTTATTTATTTATTTATTTATTTATTTATTTATTCAATTTATAAGCCGCCCCTCTCCGAAAACACAGGGCGGCTCACAATACACTCAAAAAATCAGTATAAAAACACTTAAAAATTAAAAAAAAAAACATTAAAGACATTAAAAACTCATTCACGCCATTCATGGCCGGATCTTGCCGGATCACAAGAACGAGATCAACGGCCCCAGGCCTGCCGGAAAAGCCAGGTCTTCACCGCTTTCCGGAAGGCCAATAGGGTGGGGATGGTTCGGACCTCAGGAGGTAACTGGTTCCAGAGAGCTGGGGCAGCCACAGAGAAGGCCCTCCCCCGCAGGCCCGCCAGCCAGCATTGTTTTGCTGACGGGACCCGGAGGAGACCAACTCTGTGGGATCTTACCGGTCGCTGGGAGCTATGCGGTAGAAGGCGGTCTCGAAGATAGTTATGCTGGGAAAAGGTGTGCAAAGAGAGAAGGCGACGGGATCAAGTGGAACAGTCAAGCAACAGCTGAATCTTCTTCAGCCCCTGTTGCTACCAAGGAGGTAGCTACCACGTGGTGAGAAAGGAGTGTATATTTAGAAGAACCTAGCTGAGCCTTAGATGTGATGGAATGTAGCAGGCTTGTGGTGTAGGATTTCCTGCCTGGGCAGGGGGTTGGACTAGAAGACCTCCAAGGTCCCTTCCAACTCTGTTATTCTATTATTCTATTATTCTATTCTATTCTATTCTATTCTATTCTATTCTATTCTATTCTATCTGACTTAGGCTTCTCCAAACTATGAAGCAGACTCCTTGGCCCGAAAAAAACCCCTCTTTTTATTAAGTTACTGTGAATTCCTCTCATTTACATCCAGCAAAGTCTTTCAAGGGTGAATTTATATTCACAGACCTTATCTGGCTTGGAGAGCTGCCAGGCCGATATCTTCAAAACTTGGCAAGGAGTCTCTGACAGTCACGAACCAATTAAGCGAACTGATTGTCTCCTGCAAACTCCACTCCCCTTTCGCTCCTCTTTTATTCCCTCTGGGAGGGGCCATCCACCGTCCACCTGTGGCTTTACTCCTGAGTCGGCCCTTGTTCCTTAGCTGTTCCCTTCATCTGGCAACTCTGCACATGCGCACGCTGGGAACAGGCTCCAGCTGTTTGTCTGCCTCACTGATGTCTGACTCCGAAGGCAGCTGATAACTGTCAGACGGTCCTGGCTCCCTCTCTGCCTCGGACGCAGAGCCCTCATCAGAGCCTTCCCCAGACTCCAGGACCGGCCCATGTTCCTCCCCAATTTCCTCACTGTCTGAGTCTGCCACCTCCGCTGGTGGACCACAACAAAGCTGGATAACCAGTGGGTGCATCCCAGAGGAGTAAAAGATGACTCGGTCCAGATGTGACCTGTGAGAGGAAGAGGATGAAGACAGCTCCTCCCTAATAGTCCCTCAAAGTATATGGGTAGACGCAGATAGTAAAGTTTGGCAAGATTCTGTCTATAGCTGTGAAATAATAAAGACAT